ACCAGACTCAAAGGGGGAGCCCATCCTCCAGGGGCCAGCAGGGAGAGTCAAATACAGTAAAATTTGAGACACAAACAGGGAGCAGGGGGGAGATGACAAGCCAGTCACTCCAATCGCCAGGCAACCAGAAGGCAGGCAGCGGGTCATACATGGAACCAGTTGAGCATAAAGAGTCACAGTCACAGAGTACTTGTACACTTGGCAAGATCGGTCTTGCTGACTTGCCTTCCAAGCACGAACTTGGGGTGCACGAGTCGTGGGGTTGGTCATGTTTGGCAAGGATGCAACCGATGTATCCTTGATATTGATATTTGGGGCTGGGCAAGAACGATATCCGGGGAATTTTTACCGTCCTGTGTACTTCTGATCTTGAGTATTGGACCTGGTCTTCGGCAATGGAATACCACGTAAAATTCCCCTAACCCTATTTTTCCTACTGGATATGTGCATTTTATTATGCAACGTTTTTCAAGGAACGCATTAGTCACATTGTAGCAGGTGCTGTGGTGTTAAAGACCATGGGAATGTAATCTCACGGTTTGGCTGTTCTTGTAAAGAATGAGTGCTGGTCTAGTCTCATTGACCGAAGTATGTAAATAATGAGCTGTATACAGCTGTATCAAGACCTTTATGAGCATAAGAAGAGGTGAGGAACCTTGCATGCATTGTTATTAACTGTACATTTCAAACCATGTGACCTGCATGATGTACAAACCTTTGACAGCTGTCATGATTCGGGCAAAATTATTATGGTATCAGTGTAGTTTATATCTGTATTAGTGCTTTCAAGCGATTAAAATTTTTAATCAGATTGATCACAGGGTTGCTGTGGATTAATCACGACTAAATATCATTCATTTTTAATCTATATTAATCACATTTCATTTTATATGAGCAAACAGACTCAAGAAAAAAGGGAATATATATGCACTGCACATGTTTATTGAATATCTTGAACACGAGTCGGATGCATTCCATCTGCCACAGAAATGCAATACCATGGACCCATATCAAAAAGCAAAATTTTTTGCTTAGCCGGACAACTTGTCGCATTTAAGGTACCTCAGTTTAAATGGTCTTTATCTTCGTTCACTTACAATTAGCCCGAACTACTGTAAATCCGACAAATAATCCGACTAATCATGAAATCCAGTTCTAGCCCGGTTAATTGCCATTGTTAGCAATATCAGCTGATCACACATTACGCGCGGTGCTTTGCGTATAAAACTCCGTAGCAACACGTCCACAGATAAGTTGGACGGTATAGTGTGTGCGACTGATTGAGGCACAAATGAGAAGTAGTGCTTAAACAGTATAAAACTATAACTTTCCCTTCTGTTGATAAAAGGCGCAGCCATCTTGGATTCTGAACTCGGCAGGGGTCCTCTGTGCTGCTCCGAGATATTTCTCGGATCTCCGAGAAACAGGAGAACGCACGTCGTCACTTCCGGCTTCAAAACTCGGAATACGAGTTCCCAGGGCAAATGGAATGCACTAAAACTGCCCGACATGGGTTGACAGAGACATTTCAGGGATTTTGAGTCATTCTGCACTGCAGATGGGTTCATTTCAACTGAGCTGTCAGTGCTGTCACTCTAGCTTCACACCCCCTTGTGGGATTGGGGTGCTGACATTTCAGGGACCCCCCATGCCTGCATTTCCACCTGCCTCTCCCTCCTACTTATGCTGCCATAGCCGTATCTGCCAGATCTTACATATTGCACTCACCTAACTGTTTGCACTGCCTCTAGTCTCCCCTACTTGTGTACTTTTTATCTCCCCTACCCCTCCTGGGCTGTGCTGCTTGGTGACCACAAATTATCAAGATATTCTGCCTACCCGGCTGCCTCTGAAGGCTTCACTACCTGTGGTGTCCTTCCAGTCCGCCCATCTCCTGCCTGCCCTACTGCTGTACCACTATTCATCCTGCCGTAAGAAGCAGCACCGGTACATGCACGTATATCACCTGCCTGCCCTCCGCGTTAAGATTCAAACTTATAATTTAGACAGTGTAAGTAAGGACTCTGCCATCTTGTCCATTTGACTTTCACTACCAGCCCCTGGAGGATGGGCTCCCCCTTTGAGTCTGGTTCCTCCTAAAGTTTCTTTATATGATTAAGTTTTTCCTTGCCATTGTCCTCCCTGGCTTGCTGTCTGGGGGCTTTGGGCAGGGTCACTGTAAAGTGCTTTGAGACAATGTAATGTTGTGAAAATGCACTTTACAAATAAAATTGAATTGAAATTGAATAGATAAACATGATCTATGTTGCAAAGAGTAAAAAAACTCAAAATTCAAAATTGCTGTTAACTGCTGTTGCAAGATAAAAAAAAATTTAAGGGATTTCTATTTCAAAACTGTCCAAAACCAAGGTTCCTCTTTTTGTTGGACATTCCCACCCTCATAATTTTAAAGAAGTTGTGTTATATTATGAGCAGACTGAGTTTTTCAATTCAATTCAATTTTATTTGTATAGTGCATTTTCACAATATTGCATTGTCTCAAAGTGCTTTACACTGTCCTTGCCCAAAGCCCCAGAAAGCAAGCCAGAGGGGATAGTGGCAAGGAAAAACTCCACCATAACAAGAAACTTTAGGAGGAACCAGACTCAAAGGGGGAGCCCATCCTCCAGGGGCTGGTAGACATAGTCCAAAATATCAGTCCTGACTTATAGAGTACAATTTTGAGTAATCCAGGTATAAATCGAATGATTTTTTTTGTTTGTTTTTTTATGGACCATGAATCTGCAAATAAATAAATATTCAATATATTCAAAATGCAGAAGTTTTTAAACAAAAAATGTGTTAAATAAAGTGTGCACCAGTACTCAAGGAAACTTAATGGAAAGAGCGAGTGAGAACGTCTGTTCTTTAACAAACTGAAAAACAGGTCATGGCTGTATAGGTGAAGGCCTACAGGGCTCCTGTCCACATTTATGATGCTGTGCTTACCTAACAGTACTACTGCAGTGATACGTTTTTGCTGGCACGAGATCTTCTAGCTATACTTTGCAATTCAAAGATTTGCCTTAGATATTCCATTGTTTTCAGGAAAACATTTGTGATTTTTTTCAATCATGTCAGTGTTGCTGGAGAATGCTTTTTCAAATACACATTCGAGAATTTGAACTTACAATGTTTCGGTGTCAATAAATATTTTAAAACCAAGCCTTTCAGACAAAATAACGAGATATCCACTAACCAAAAACATGTTACAGTGCATTACTGAAAAAATTCGAAGGACCAAATTCGAAGCGATAAATTGTGTAGCACAACGTTCGATCCCAGTCAGTTTTACTTTTTTTCGCCAGTCGCCGGTGGAGTTTGAACATTGAAACCCAGGTAGTTTCATTCCGCTTTAATTTCTAGCAAGCAGGCGGTGATCAGCAAACACTAAAACAGACGCACCAAGCTTCAGCATGTGGATATAAAGTTTAAAGACCTTGGGGTGAGTTTCCCGAAACCTCCTTAACGCTTCGTCGTTCTTAAGTTCTACCATTTAACATACGACCAACGTAGCGATAAGAAGGATTCGGGAAACTCACCCCTGTGCAGTAACTACGCCGAAGGTGCGCAAATAAGCGCGCCGCACAACACTGACTGAGCGGAATAAGCACAACGAGAGCGCTTCGTATTTCTTTCATTTTATGTGTAAGGGCATTAATTATGGAAGGATTATTCGGACGACTGTATTAGACAAATAACTGCGTTAAAACGTGAGAATCCCTTTGGTTCGTTCGAGAGAGTAGTTGTACGGCACTGCATAATAATTAGCAGTGTATTTCATTATTTTCATTTTAATGTTAGTAATGTCTTGCTGTGCATAATTTGTCAGTTATCACATGGTCCGCTGTTATCCGCGGTAGGTCTTGGAACGTATTTCCAAGCACAGCTTACTACAACTAATACCAAAAATGCTTGTTATTGCAGATGAAATGGATGCTGCCGACAATATAACAGATTTCAAAGAGCAAATTGGAGGGTTGTTGGAAGAAACTGCAACGGTGGTAGCTACTTCTGAGTACAACACTGATTATGTTTGCAAACTTCGAGGAACCCAAAAGCATAGTTGTTTACTGAATGGGTACGACTCGACTATGCAAGTTGCAATAGGAGTTTTTGGGAAACATACTCCTGGACAGCCGTCCTAGTCGAAGTAATTCAGGACCACTTTCCCTTTCCCTCATCCACCTGTGGTTTCATCTGTGGCTCATATTGCTCGATTGCTCCAAACTACAGCCACTACAGACAGATCTCTTGGAAGCACTCAGCCAATCACGGAGGCCTCTGTATCTTGATGGGTGAAAGTGACAGTCTGCATATGTGCGGTATCATTGAAATAAACAAATGAATAAATAAAACCGACAAGAAATAATAAAAATAGGAAGAAAAACAATTTTCTTAACAGATTTACTTATGCTCATATTTCATATCATTATTATTTATTTACTGCCACGTTTCACAATATATTTATTTATCAATGTACACGGTTAAATATTTGATAAAGTCGGAATAATCCCTGTATAATAGATAAGTGAGCATGAGAGTTCAAGCTAATTCACCCAGTCCTTCACTGTTCACTCACTGGCTGCAGGCCATCGGTACTGCTCGCATGCGCAGTGAGGCAGCACTCTGCCGCTCTCTCACTGGCCGCGTCACGTTCTGTGCAATGCGCATGAGCAATACGGCAGCACCAACCGACTGTCATATGACTCTCATTTCCTGCTTATAGTCAGTGGCTGCTCGTGAGTCCGAGGGGATTAGGCTGCTCTCTGTGCGTGGTTCCCCAGTTTGACCGACGATTTACCATGTTTCGTTACGCCTGCGTCACTTTGCTCTTGCTTTTGGCTGCCGGTGAGTATGCACGGGGGATAGAAGCATCGTCTTGTTTTTTTTAGTTTTGATTTTGACAATAGCAAAAGGAAAGTTTTTTTTTTCTTGCGCCGTCACGGGGGCCTAGCTGGATCTTGATATGGGTATTTTGAAAACTATCTAACAAGTCACCTACGTATTAAACCGTGTATTTATTCCTGTCTGTCTGCCTGTTTGTAACACTGGGGATCTTATCGCAGATAAAGCTCGTGCTTTCGTTCGTATGTGTTAATGTGTCTTTAGTTGGCAGACCTGGTAGTGTAAACTGTCATTGTTATCTGGGTAGGTAGCTGACGCTGGCCCGTTAACCGAGCCAAATTTCAGTCCTGTTCTTCATACGTGTCTGTTTGATTGTGTGCACTAACAGTTGGGAAGATCAGCCATGGTCATACTGGGGATGGTTGGAGACAACTGGCCTAGTCAGATGAAATTAACTTGTGCGGATAGGCAGTTGCGTTTGACTGGAAATGATCATTTTGCCTGCACACGAAATGGGGCGGGTTGGGGTTAGGAAACACCCACAGTATTTTTAGCTAACTAAATGTTTATATGATAAACGGCATGAACCCGTCTGTGCTGGGTGGATGCTGGAAGCTGCGGGATTTGATAGTTAACCCGATTTGATAGTTGTATATGTGTATATGATAGGGTGAAGATGGTGGTGCCGGGTGAAAAAGCACGTGATGACAGGCTGTTTCGTAACCCCACCGGGTGTGTTTTACCCTTTACCCTGGCTTCCCAGCATTTGCATGCAGGATCTCCCGGCTTTCCGTTTTGGTTATCCGTGTGATCGGACATGTGCCCGGAAAAGCTACCTCTGTCATCGGACATGTGTTCTGTCCGGGTGACCCGGAAACCTGCACTGAGATAAAGAGCTCACCTCCAGAATAAAACATCTGAAATGTATTAGACTATTAAAGACCAAAAGTAAAACTTCTGCAAATTTTTTACTTGCAGATTAGTGAGGGTCATTTGCGAATTATTACAATCAGTTGCACTTTCTGTCGGACTGAAGTCCCAGATTAACTGCAGAAACGCATTAAAATGTGACCGGGTAAAACCTGACCCAGTTCTCCGACTTAACTGCGATCGCTTTCTTGTTTTGACCGGTCTCTTCTCCCGCCTGAAACGCCGTCAGCTATAGTTCACACCCGGACCAGTTTGAAGACCTGATAAAATATTAAATTGGTTGACATGGATATCTCTGTGAATTGTACAGTTGGTCCCTTTGTGTTTTTGAAAAAGATTGAGGTTGTATGTCGATTTTTTCCCTCACGTTTGTCTGGATAAAATGTAATTTTCCTGTATAATTCTGCATTTATTGTACCCTGGGTTCTAGGGGGTGGATGGATGTTCTTGGGTGTGTACTGCTGTTTCTTCACTAAGAGAAGGGAACCGCTGAACTTGCTGTAACTAGTTAATAGAGTGCATGGCTGAATGCTTTATAAAGCGAAATCACTGTGGATCAAAGTCTCCGGTAACCCTCCGTAATGGTAATTCTGAAGCAATTTGAAGCTGAGGTAATAAAAGAGAAGGCATGGAGGGCCCTTCTGGCTGTGCTGCCTGGGGCAGACTCACCCCTTCTAGTGCCGCCTTTCACCTGCAGCCGGCCTCACAGTGTTATGTTTCTGCCTTATGTGAGACTGTCAGCTGTCAGCTGCTCCTCTTCCGTGGTCCTCACAGTCCGGCTTACACGATCGATTCTGAGGCTCATAAATGTTTACTGTATTCCGGTTATTACGCACTGTAAAACTGTAACCATCTGAGAGCCATAAAGTCTCATTCTCATTAATCATTAACGGTTTATCTGTCGTTGTGAATTTTACCCGTGATTAATTATCCACCGAGTCAAAGGTCGATTTTTAAGCTATTTATTTTTGGTTATTATAAAGAGCTGCTCTTCCCTGGGCAAGGTTAACCATGCAGTTTGTGTTTTTCCTGGCAGAAATCCGGCAGTCCCGCAGCACGGAGGTGAAAGTGGAAGAAGACAAAAAGCTGTGTCTGTATGCAAACCTGATGCTGAACTTCTCTGTAACCTATGAGGTCACAGGGAAAAAGGTACTGTAGTGGTCATCTTAGGTCGAAAACATTATTCTTTATGTTGGCAATCTAAAACAATTGACCACTTCAATTGTTTCAAATGAACGACAGTAAAATGTTTACAGGTGAAACTGGTACACAGGTTACCGATCACGGTAAAACAGCTGTGTGGCTCCCGATATCCACTTCTTTATTTTTCACATTCAAAAAAGGCAAACTTTATTTCTCCTCTGACACACATATCCCTTACGGCAGTCGCAAACCAAAAAACTAAGCGGAGAAGCACTTTCCTGTAAGATACACTACATAAAATTCAAATTATAATGGCAGGTTTACACAAAATATTCTAACCATTTAATTAAACAAAAAATACACCATTCTGTATAAATGTTGCTCACAGGATGTCCACAGGTTTGTGTGTGTGTGTGTTGTTTGGGGGGGGGGGGGTCAGCCGTGCATGAGTCAGGGCACCCGTCGCCCATGCTGAGCACCCGCGAGCACTGACATCCTGAAACTTTAAAGACAGAGGCTGTTTTTGGGTGTCGGCCGCATCTGTGTGGTGTGAAGGTGCAGAGTTCTGCATTTGCTGCGTCTCAAAGTGTGAAGACGGGGGAGCTTCATTTACTAGTTGGACTTATAATGCTGAAGTGGATGATGGAAATTGGCCTGTTAACCATGTTGGTTATTTCTTCCTGTTGTTGGACTCTCGGCCTAGCCTTGCGGGTGGTGTAGTCATGCCCCCCTGTTCCTGCCTCCGCTTAAGCACTTCCTGTAATGTTGACACCTTTAATTCAGAGAATTCTTAGCGGCATTGAAATTTGTACTGGGCACAGTTCAATCTTTTTAATTTTCTTTTTGGCTTGCTGGTCCTTCTGCTGACTCAGAATGCCACGGTCACATTCACGCTGCCTGAAAATGTCACGACGAACGGCAGCAGGTGTGGAAACGACAGCTCCCTGCTGAAGATTGGCTTTGGCAAGGGCCACTCTTGGGCTCTCAGCTTCATGCGGGACAACCAGACCTACAAGGTGGATAACATCTCGTTCACCTACGACCTCAAAGACGACACCATCTTCAAGAACTCCTCGTCGAACGGTGAGGAGCTGGTGCCGGGGGCTTTGGATGTGACTCCCCAATTCAGGGGGTGACTTGCCCACATGCATCGCTTCTCCTCTTCAGACACGAAAACGGTGACGGTCGGAGGGGAGATGGAGGCCGTGGATCTCAACAACATCTATACTTGCAAGAGTCACGAGACGCTGCACAGCGGGCTGGTACAGCAGGTGTTCTGGAACGTCTCTCTGCAGGCTTTCATAAGCAACGGGACGCTCAGCAAAAATGGTATGACCCCCCCCCCCCCACCTCGTGTGCTGGTATACAGGGTTACACATATACCTCTGCTTATTCATTATTCATCTTCACCTCCCTGCCCGTAGCTACCATTTGCCGTGCTGATCTCCCCACCACAACACCGCCCTCTACAACCATCACACCAAAACCCACGACCACTCCCAAGCCCACTCCGCTGCCCCAGCCCTCCACTGGCTCCTACCATGTCAACGCCAACCCCAACAGCACCTTCTGTCTGCTGGCGATGGTGGGGCTGCAGCTACACTATAAAGATAGCAAGGTATGTGACCGGTATGGAGTTGTGGTTGATGTCATGGGAAATCTGTTTCGATTGGATAATGAATCTCAATTGCGCCCCTCCCACTTTTAGGAATTCGTTAGTGAGAACATTGACCCCAACATAACCACCGCGACTGGGAATTGCGGGAATAACGGGAGCGATGCTGTTCTGGTGCTGAAAAGCGACCACGTGACCATCTCTTTCACTTTCGTGGAGGTAGCGTCAGTCGATCCTGCCTCGGCAGGAGGACCCCTGCTCGCATCCAGTACTTTCCTCTCTCTGCTGCCTGTTTGCCATCCTTATTGGTTCTGGATCTCTTGCAGAACAAGCAGAAATTCTTCCTGCACGCAGTGAACGTCTCTGTAGTGAATGGCAATGGTAAGTTTGGGTAAGACCAGCTAGAGGTTTTGTTAGGCAGTCGCTTGGATGTCGATATCATCATCATCATCATCCCCGCCCCCCCCCCCTGACTTCTCTTTATTGTCTCCTCTGGCCCAGACACTTTCCATTCTGGAAATGCTAACATGTCACTGTGGGAGGCTGCTCTGGGTACCTCCTACATGTGCAACAAGCAGCAGACAGTCAACGTCTCTGACTCCTTCGCCTTTGTCACCTACGACCTGCGGGTGCAGCCCTTCGAGGTGAAGAATAGCTCTTTCGCCACAGGTGAGTGTCATTCCCCCCCCCCACCCCTTTCCCCGTACCAGTCCCAAAGAAATCTGGCTCCTCTGTATCAATTTATCTACCAGATCCCAAAAGTGTAGCTCAGATTTACTAGGCTTTGGCAGAATCAAAGCTTCTGGAATTTGATGCTGTGGAAGTAAATCATGTCCCCGCTGTTCATGTGTTGGTCCCCCTCCCCCTCCTCCTCTGTTTGCAGCTCATCAATGTCCTATGGATGACACCAGCATCTTAATCCCAATCATTGTCGGGGCTGTCCTGGCGGGCTTGATTGTCATTGTGCTGATTGCTTATGTGATTGGTAGAAGAAAGACCTACGTCGGCTATCAGAGCCTTTGAACCACTCAGTGATCGTGTCATTCAACGGATCAATCTCGGCACCTTTTTTTTTTTTTTTCTTTTTAAAATTTTAAAGTTCCCCTCCTCCTTTTTGTGTTGTCTGTTCAGGAGCAAGCACAGGTTCTTTTCACCTTTGCGCAGTAGATGGCGCCTTGTGTTCTATCGTCTGACAGCAGTCTTGGATAAAAGTTACTTGTACAGTTTTCCACTCTCCTTGTTTATACAGCTGGCGGTTTTGTTTTGGCTAATAACGTAAAGTCAAAATAGCAGTGCCTCTATGGTACTTGAATCTTATCTTTACAAGACTGGTTCCTTAACTATTGCTCCACCTACTGGAACTTGAGGGAGGTAAAGCCGACACTGGTCTTCTGCTTTACCCAGGGTTCATTTTACCACAGGGGTATAAACTTTTTTGGGAAGGTGTGAGTGAACAATAATGTAACAATAGAGTATGCTATGCTCGCCCCCCCCCCCCCAACGGAGCACCCGGAAGCTGGGGACCCTCTGGTGGTGGTGCATCGAGACCTGTGCTTGCTTACTCAGCTCACCATTCCTTTTACCATCCCATGACTGTGTGCCTTTGTGTGCTCGTTCAGTTGTACCACACTTGTAACTCAACATTTGTCTTTTGAGGTCATCTACCACGTTGGCATTGGCTCGTACCCTTTGGCACTTGCTGGCACTTTTTTTGAGGGGGTGGGGTTTTTTGAGGAGGGAGGAAGGATTGAGTGAGTTTTGGCTGATACGTTTGCATTTCTAAGCGTCCGACACGGAGGCTGATAGAACACACTGGTCATGGGTTACCTGAATTCTGTCAGAAACGTCCTCTAGATTCCAGACGTTGTGTCAGGGCTGACCGCTCATTCTGGAGGCAGACTTACTTGGTTTGGCCTCTCATTTGAGCACCGATACTGTTATTTCAGAAATGTTGTCTTGGATGTAATGGCAGCAGTTTGTAGGCTTTCAGAGCGCTACATCAGGAGTATCTCCCACAGCCCCTGGGATGCTGCATGGAGGCATGCAGCAGTGGTGCTGAATGGTGACAGACCGTCATCCAGCATAGTAGTTGAGCCTCAGGATTTTATTCATGGAATCAAAAAGCAAACGTTGGGTTTGGTCTCTCCCCCCCCATTCTTTCTGTAGGTTTGGTGCATTAGACTATAAAGGGATGATATTAGCATTTAGCACATCTACCTGTATTTACGTGTTGTTTTTTTGTGTTTTTATTTTTGTTTCCCTCCACCCCCAAATTATGTACATTTGACAATTAGTGCACTAATGCAGCTTCTCCCATTAGCTGCTCCTAGTGCTTTCAGACACTGGGCAGGCATCAGCTGTAGCTCCGGCCAGCGGAGGCGCCTTTCTGCTCAGTGAGCGAGGCAGCTCTGGGGATTGGCGGAGTGTAATGGTTTGGAGGCGGCCATATTTGTACATATTTCTGCTTGATGTTGATGGTGGGAGTGCCTTTCTTATTGTTATTGGTCTAATTGGAACTTCAAGCCAGTTTTAGCTCCCTGATGTGAAGATTCTTTGTTAAATTTCTCCGCTGTAGAGATGTTGCAGCTCTGACTGTGTATCTAACAGGTTGTTCCTGTAACAACCCAGAAAGAACCTAACCTGAGCATGACAGGTTCTGGTAGATATGGCCTTCCAGGCATTGGGGAATGTCATGTATTCATGTAGGCAATAGTTCTGGGTACAGGGTTGGAGTTTAACCCTTAATTTTTTATTTTTATTTTTCTGCCCTCCGCATCCTGGAAATGGTTATTGTACCAGTCATGGGCTGGTTTATTTACACTTTGCACTTCGTGTTTGGGTACTGGATTAGAAAAGGGAATCTCACATGTCCGTAAGAAATACTGCGTGCTTGTTTTAATAAGATGGCTTCTTGGTCTGAAATTCTGTCAATATTTGGAATATTTTTTTAAATCTGTGAATATACAGAAATGATTGTGGAATTCCATCTTAGTACCTTTTTATAAGATTGAAGATTCTTGGGTTGTTGTATAAATATGAACACCCTTTAATTTTGTTTTTTGTTTTTTTTCCCTCCAAATGACAATAAAATCTGCTTACTGATCCGTCCTGAAGCCGAGTTTAATTCTTTTACCAGATTTGTCCTGCATTCTCTCATGCTGCTCCATTGATCACAATCCAGCCTCCTCCACACCCTGCCATGTCTGTTTGTAGTCTTCATCCTTTCTGTGTACCATTGTCCTTCATTCCTTCACACACTTTCTTTATTCTCATCCAGCGGACGACTGTCAAGCCGATAAAGACGACAACCTCATTGTCCCCATAGCAGTGGGGGTGGCCCTGGCAGTTCTGGTTCTTATTGTGTTGGCTGCCTATTTTATTGGAAGGAGACGGAACCAGGCCCGAGGCTATGAGTCATTCTAGGGTGATTGTGGTGGGTGGGGCTTCACCAATCAGCTGTTGGATATTTAAATGTGTCTCAGCTTCTGAGGCCTTTTTTTTTTCCCTTTTCTTGCCTTGATCATGTGTTTTGTGAAGTTGCACTTATCCTACTAGTTATACTGCTGAATATAGTCCTATTTTCCCCTTATTATGCACCAAATGGTCACTGTCAAAATTGGCTGCCTGAAAATCCTTAAGCCTTTTTTATAAAAAAAAAAAAAAAAGAGAGAGAGAACCTTCTGAAAATCAAGCTTTAAAAAAAAAAAAATGAAATCATTTTGACTAAGCTGGTCTGTGTCCTGGTCTTTTTTTTTCCCCCACAAGGAAGAAAAGTACTATGTTTTTCAAACTTATTTTCCCTAAGAACAGTAAAATATTGCATCTTTTATCAGTCAAGCAGAGGGACTCCTGCTGGAGAGAGGATTCAGCCAATGAGCTCACTGCTTCTCCTCTAGCTTTTCCTAGCAGTGAGTGTGTTTTCCTGGGTAACACGTCATGTTCCTGCACTCTAACAGCTGACCTCCCCCTCCCCCCCCCCTCTTTTTCATGCCAGCTGAGGAGTGCTTCCTGGACTCTGATCTCAGCTTTCTCGTGCCTATCGCTGTCGGTGTGGCTCTGAGCTTCCTAATCATCCTAGTGCTTATCTCTTACCTGATTGGGCGGAGGAAGAGCCGTACTGGGTACCAGTCCGTATAACAACCCCCCCCCCCCCCCCGAGCCCCGTCACTGCTTCGTCCTTTCATCCGTCTGGCTTTCTCACACCTCTCTCTACTCTGCATAGATAGCTTCTTAATGAATGCCGGTCTTCTGTTCTGCAAGACCAGTTTCATCTCAGCTTGACCTCTATGAGTGTTTCCCAGCATGCCACAGACATGCGGTTATCATAAATCCAGCCTTAGTGCTATTGTCAACCGCTTAATTTAACACACTTATCAAATATTTTGAAGATGGTTAACAACTTAAAACGGCCATTTAACTGTGTCTACCACAGTAAGGAGAAGTAATCCTATTTCAGATTCTCCGCAAACATGACTACTTTCTGTAGAGCTGAGCATTTGTTTTTTCCTTTGTAGAGGCTGAGATGAAACTGGTCTTGAGGTGCAGCTCCAGAGGTTCAGGAGTAATAGCAGTCAGTTTATGCTGTAATGAGGAGCTTAGCATTGATTCACTTTGTTACTCGGAGGGAGATGAGCTGTTCCCTCCTAATGAATGAGGACTGCCTTAGAAGATGGTTCTTCTGCTTTGGAAATGATGTATGAGATGTAAGGAATGCCTGTCGCTCCAACTCTCTGAGCAGAATGTCTCGAACCTGCCTTTCCACTCTGTTTCTGTTGATCTTAAAGTCCATTTTAAGCATGTTGTACCATGCCATAGTCTGTGAAGGAAAAGCAGGCTTTTCTTCATTGTGACACCATTCAGCCATTTAAAACTCCATCATTCTTATTAGTCGTGTTAATTTGAAGTCATTTCTCAGGGAGCAGAAGTTGGTGGCACTATTAGTGAATCGGTTTAACAAAAAAGCCCAGCATCATTCAATTCATCCAGGGTCCACACACATTAGTTATGCTAACATAATAACAGAAAAAGTTTAATGCCCCACCAAAATATTGAAATCACTCAATCTTAATTTGTTTTGCTCCAAATTGTCTTGTTATTGCAAACCTATATTTCCACTGTAAATTTCAGTGCTCAGAAATTGATTGGATATGTTAGGGGAAGTGAAGATGAAGTGCTGTTTTATTTTTATTAAATAGGGGCAAGTGTAATGTGGAGTCACCATAACACCCCCACCCCCTAAGAGAGAGAAATGTTGGCATTTTGAATCATTACTGAATTTTGTTTCTAATTATTACAATGAGTCTGTCCACAGTATTTTTGTACTGATTTATGTATAGCATGTCTCAGTGTGAAGAATATCAAGACATGTATATTATAAATTGAGCCTGGGGGTGGGAAATGAATAAAGTTGCTTTCCTGTTTTGTACTGGTGTGTTGGTCTCCCTTTCCTGCCTGCTCATGTTCCAGGTCATCTTTACCTTCCTTTCTGAACTTTTGCATCTCACAGCTCTAATTAGGGAAAAATTCCAAGTTTTTTCAGAAAGGAATGTGTGAGTCAATTGAGTTGTGCTTTGCATGATTTTCTTAATCTACTAAACATAGCAGAGAAGACTTTGATCAAGAACAACAGAAAAAAGACACATTAACCACATGCCCCAGTCATGTGAAACATGTGACTGGACATCTGATTGGCTTGCCGTATAATCAGAACTATAAAGACGTAAAATGCTTCACATACCGTGTACAGACTGTCTTCATATTGGCTCATGTATTCTTTCCGGATTCTCAGCTGAATTCACATGACTTGCCTGCCATTAAACAAGTAAGAAAGGATCTGCTTAAATCTGCGGTTTGTGAATAAAAGTTGATGAGAAAGGGGCAGTATGTTTACAGGGCTGGTTATCCCAGTAGGTGACAGAGGCAGCTGCATAGGGTCCACCTTTTGAGGGGTGCTGACTTAACAAACAGCTGATTTCACTCATGCGTGGTGTGTGCCATCCAAGTTGAAGTGAAATTAACTGGTTTGTGCCCATAGAAGTGGCAGAGAATAGCTACATGATGTATGGCGCCCCCTAGAGGTACTGTTACCCTTGGCGGTGCCACAAAGAACAGGTAGGTGATGTGGAACACCCCTAATAGTGCTCCCATCCTCTGTGGTGCTGGGGGGACGGCAAGAAAAAATTGTTAATATAACATTATTGTATAATAATATCACATATTATTTATTGCATTGTCATTTATACAATATTATATTTAATATATTGTATTAATTATATTTATCATATACTGAGTGACAAAAAAAGAAATTTCCACATTCGATGGGATGGTTGGTGCTAGTCTTTTCCAGTCAGCATAGTGTGTACCCAGCTAAAGACTTCCAATAGATGTAAGAACTGTAATGTTCTAAGGACCATAGAGACTTGATCCACAAAGACCGTGGCATGAACTCACATTTACTGAGTCAACAACTTTTCTCACTTTGAAGGTACTTTCCAATTGTTATTTTAATACCAATTTTCAATTTTGTTTCCTTTTGTTTTCCATTTGTTTGTGTAGTTTTATGAGTTTTTAACCATTTTTAGACACACACGGTTCGCAATTGTTGTCCAAGGACTGTAGTTTTAACTAGTACTGCTGAAATTAATGAGTTCATAATGCATAATTATTTCTTTGATTGTGTTACCGCATGCATTAATTTTGGTACCCAAATGGAAGAACAATATGACCAAAGATTTTAATAGAGACCTTTTATATTCCTTCCTGATTGCAAACAATGTGAGAGCTTCAGGTGTGATGTTGCACAAGAATTCAGAACTAAAATCAAAACATTCAGTGTTTCCCAGGGAGGCTGAGGGAGGGGTTAGGCAAAGAAACTTTATTACTTGGCCCATTTTGGTTTGAAAAATAATACATATCTATGCTGAATATACAAAATATAAAATCTTTTTTTACAGTATCGCAACATGACTGTATATGCCAGGGTTATTCAAATCACGGTCCTCGAGGTCCGAGCACTGCTGATTTTCCAGCCTTCCTTTACCTGTGAACCAGGTGTGAAGCCTCTGACCAATCAGAATCAGTAATTATTAATTAACTACCTGGAAGAACGGAAAACACGGCCTGGATTTGGAACCGAGGGCCAGATTTGAAGAGCCCTGGTATATGCAATTAATAGTGTTGTAGTCAAGACCGCCTAAACCGAGACCAAGACATTGCCGAGACCGCAGGGTATCAAGACCAAGACACTGCCGAGACTTGAGGGTACCAAGACCAAGACCAAGTCCAAGACCAAGACCAAGACACACTAAGGCGAGACCAAGACCAAGACTGGTCGAGAACAAGACCAAGACCAAGACCGAAAACAGACTAGGGCTAGAATCGACATCACATTACCCAGATCAAATGTAGAGAAAAAAGGCATTGCTGTAAAGTGTCATTACTCGTTAAATCAAATTCATGTTATCTTTTCAATTATATTGTCCGTATGTCCATATGTCTCTCATTTAAAATCTCCCAGATTTGTCATAGTTACGAGACCTGATGGAAAATAATATTCTCAGCAATCCTCTCCTATACACATTTTATCAGACCTCGTCAAGGGAAAGAGATGGGATGTACCAGAAAGATGTTCATATTAAGTCTCTTATACCAGGGACAGAGGCCTCGGGTAAGCTATGAATACAGCTATGTAATGATCCTTTGCTTTGAATTGAAGAGAATGAGCCTCCAGATGGACTTGCACCTCCAAGACCGTGCTTTCTAAGCAATGTAAAATACCTAATTTATTTGAATTATAACTATGCTATAGACTTCGCGGACATTTTCGGACATTTTTTTGCCGATGCATGATACGATGTGTATGATGTGTGTGGACTGTGAAGCACTGGCAGTGTCCGGTGGAGAAAATGTATAAAATGTAATGTTTTTGAAATGGATGCATCTGACTGGTTGCATTTGAATTGAGGCGCGTAATAAATAATGATACTGTTCTGTGAGGATGTGCAGTTTTCTCTTTTTTTCCCCATCCCATCGAGACCGCTATGTCCGAGACCAAGACAAGACCGAGACCAAATAGAGTCGAGACCAAGACAAGACCGAGACCACAAAAAATTGGTCTCGAGACCGGTCTCGAGACCAAGACCGGTCTCGAGAACTACAACACTAGCAATTAATCACAAAATGCTTTTGTGATTGTTTTAGTTTCAGTATTCATGAACAATAACCTTCCTCACCGTGGGTGGCCAAATATGCTGGTTCCAGAACATACGTGTGTATGCATCCCAAGTCCAGAAAAGGCCTTTTCAAGACAAAACTAAGAGCTCAACCAGAACTCTTCATCACAATGTGGAGCCACATAAAATGGAAGACAGCAGCTACTGAACCAGAAAAGTTAAGATGGCTGCCAAGTTAATCATAATAATCAGGCAAAGATCTGTATGCCAATCATGTCAGAGGCTCGGTGCATAACCATGTTTAATGTAATGTCTTTGTCTGAAATAATAATGCCACCAATTTATGCAGGAGGAGGCTATGGTGCTGAATGCTAACAGGAGGAGGCTATGGTGCAAAAAGCTAACAGGAGGTGGCTATGGTATTAAATGCTATCAGGAGGTGGCTATGGTATTAAATGCTAACAGGAGGTGGCCCCAGGCCAGTAGATCCATTAAGGATGCTGTGTCTTTGCTATTCATCTGCCATGCCTCACTGCAGTGATGCAATTAATACACTTTTTCTAGCATTTCCCTCAATCAGTAGTTTCATGACACAGCCTCTGCCCATCATGGCTGCTAGCTGGTATAAGCTATTTGCTTTATCTGCTTATAAAAGTAAAAAGGTAAGTTTCTTTTGCATCTGAGCAGGATGAGAAAGTTCTGGGAGTAAGTGTACCAGGTAGGGTTCTGTATTAACACAAACTACCCCTGCCAAATAAAAATCCTTCCACTGACTCTCCAGAAGGGGGAGATTTCCTAGCGGATTTGTGCGCTACTCTGCCATACAGGTAATTTTTTTTGAAGGAGTATTTAACCTCGCCCTGCCGAGGATGCAATTCAAAATATTTACTACATTTCAAGAAGATACACCGTGTGTGGAGTTAAATATATGTTGGAGATGCCTCCCTGACGTTTTTTCTTGATGGGTGGGGGGGCTTTAATTGCGGAGACGGAGCGGCGCATGCGCAGGACTGCAGCTCCCGAGTCTAAGCAGAGCTGCGGTGAAGGTTTGGATCGGTAGATGAATGGAAAGCGCTGAGATGTCGTTAGACCCAGATTAAAATGACACTGCTACGCCAGAGGCGGTGGGGGGACTGGCCATCCGCGTGTGCCACACGCTCCGGCGAAGGGAACCACAGCTACAATGCTAAATAAAAATAACTGCAATTAAAATAATATAAGATCGGTGTCCGTCTACTATTCATATACAAAGAAATAAACATGTCTACTGGGCTGAACCAGCAGGACAATGGGATAAGCCTTTCCGATGCCGTAGGTATGTGCAAGGTCAATGCAGCAGCTGCTGTGGACAGTGAGTTAATATTTGTACTCAGCGAGGCTTCTTGCTAAATTGTAGGTAATGGCTTTGCAAGCACATTTTCGCAAATATTTAAGTAGGCATTCGAAAATATACGCATTTAACCCCTAACTGTAAAGAAATTCGTCGATTTGGGTCAGTGCATTTTAGTGCTTTAATTTAGTCCATTTCTTTTTAAAAATATACTATAAATGAATGACTATGATTACCATGCCGATAGTGTTAATTCAAGGGCAACAGCCGTACAGTCGTGTAACCACTGCGGATTTCTCCAAGGATCGGGGCAGCGGAGAGATCGGTTCGTACACGGCTCGTCCCGGTTCCCGTGTTCTGTTTTTGTTGATTTGTTTCTGCTTTGCCTTGCATGCGTCCGACAGTGTAAGAGCAACGTGGTATTTTGCAATGTATTTACGCAAGAATACTGGTGTCAAGTTTAAGTGCAGCAATTTTCTGCATACAGTGTTTGCTATTGCTTCTGATATAATTACTTACTACTGCTACAGAAAGTCACCTTCTTGTCAATAAAATGCATTCTGATAACCACTGGAACAGCCAACAAATAAAATAACAAATGAATATCGTAATATATGAAGTATTGGGACAACAATATATTTATGGGTTGAATTTGTACCTTGATTGCAGAAAGATGGTGTCCTTACATGCAACTTGTAATAGCTTATCCTGGACAATTTTTGTTAGGGGGGTTGAGAACAGGGCAGGATGCACCTTGAATAGGATGCCAGTCCATCACAGGGCATATACACACAGACACTGATACGCTAGGGGCAGTGTAGGGATGCCATCCTAAGGGTGTCCTCTCATCCATGTCTCCAATGATGTTTTCCAAGGGTCTTTCAAGAGCAGGAAGAGGAAGTCCATCGTGGTGACGGTGTCTCTGCTCATAGTGTCGCTGCTCATCCTCACCATTGGTGTGGCTGCCACGACACGGACGCACAACGTGACAGTCGGGGGCTATTACCCTGGTGCCATCGTGAGTGTTATCAAGCGATGAAACTACTGAGAAGGCTTGTTGGTGCCTGAAGAATGTTACTGGAGGGCATGGGGTGGGAACACTGATGACCAGTGGGGAGACAGGCGCTTTTTTAGCATCTATAGGGTGATCATTTTTGGGGGGGCCGCCCCATGACACCAACACTTTCCTGCGCGCTAAGACGTGTGTTTCAGGACCCAGCCCTCGGAGACATGCAGTCAGTGCATGCAGACTGTCCAGGAAAAATGTGGACTGTCTGGCAGGGAGCTGGGAGGGAGCAAAAACGTGGACCGTCTCTGGGTCCTCGAGAACCGGGTTGGGAAACACTGGTTAAGACTATAGGAAAGTTCAAATCTCGTGGTTAGCAGAGTGATTTCACCATTGGGCCATTGACTGGTTGACTTTCTTTCTTAATTGTACATCGCTTTCAGTAAATATAAATTTAAATGCTCACTAAGCTAAAGTTAATTGTCCCATTACATCATTCATAGTGAAAAATATGGTGACTAGCAATCGGTAATGAATTAACAAAGTACTGGGAGAGCGGACAGAGGTCTTTATGAAGAGTTCGGTTGGGTGACTCCTCCTCAAGCTATGCTGACATTTGCCTTTTTATCTCCAGCTGGGCTTTGGCTCCTTCCTTGGGATCATAGGAGCTCACCTGATTGAAAATAAGAGGCAGATGGTAAGGAGATGGACTTGTCACCACCACCTACCTGCGAATCCAGTGCTTCACAGAGATGTTCGAATGGCATGCCATCAGGCCCATGTGCCGTAGATTGATTACGCAGCATCAAAGCTGGCACTTTACTGCGTGGTGGAATCCGCCGCGATTGTGATTAGCGGGATTCCGTGAGGGTGAGTGCAGGCTGTGCTCTAGATTCAGCAGGACTCCACGAGAGTGATCGCGTGGCGCACTCATGATTCAGGGGGACTCTGGGAGGGTGATCACATGTTGCACATGGACTTTGGATTGGCTAGATCATGTTCCCCTAACTGCCTTATGATACTGGATGCAAGAGGTGAAGGTGGCAGCGTGATGAACTGAAGAGATGGAGGAATGAGGGGAAGCGTGTGTGTTTGTGTGTATGTGTGATGGAGTGCTCTGTAAGCACACTCTCATGTGCCACACTCACCCCCACACTAAGCAGAAGTGTCCCTTCATCTCCACACCTCCTTCTCTTAAAGAGAGGAGGTAATGTGTGACACTGGTAGTGCACAAAGAAACAGATTCAGTTTTGGTGGCTGAGGGGGGTGGCCTGTAGGGGGCGCTATAGCCAGAAGGGGTAACGTCACTCTCTTCTCTCTCGCCCTCCCTGTGGCAGTTGGTGGCCTCCATCGTATTTATCAGCTTTGGTGTGGTGGCGGCACTGTGCTGTGCCGTGGTGGACGGCGTCTTTGCCGCCAGACACATCGTGAGTATGAGCTATGCGGAAGCTGCGGGGGGGGGGGGGTCACCTCTCACACCACAAACCCTAACTCAGCTGGGCAGCTTCACACCCACACAGTCATTCTCCTGCCCGGCCATTAACCAGACTGCCTGGTAACCTTCCATCTACAAAACATGAATGGACATGAATGGGCAGCATCTAGTATTTCCTGACTGGGTTTGTACCAAAACAGCACTTTGGCCAGCTTCAGCTCTTTGACAAATCCCTATGTTTTACAAGCTATATTATTTTTTATTTTTTTATAATGCTTAAAAAGCATAACCAGCAGATTTACACCCTTTTACGCAGTTTTAGCCATACTTTTCCCACACTTTTTCAACCAAAAAAACACATATGCCTTGCTCAAATGTACAACAGAAGTGCCAGTCGAGATGAACAGAAGAAGTATTTCATGGATGTTCAAACTCAGTGCCCTATATACCAAAGCGGGCTGGTATATAGAGATAGACGAGACACTATTGTAATATTGAAAACAGCGACACCTGGAGGCCAGATGGAGCGACCAGTTTGTCTGAAGTGCTGCCGAGCGTTGAGGGGGTAAAAGCTGAGCTACCTCAAAATGGGCGGGTTTCTTTGACCATGTCATACAAGTCAATGTAATCCTTTATTAAAAAAAACCTCTGTACCTGTCCCTTATTGGCTTAAACATGTAAATGGAGGTATCCTCGCTTTACGAATACCAGGATAAAATACTGATATTGTGTTGGTCCAACAAATAATTTCAAAGTTTTCTTTCTCTACTACTGCAAAGTAGCATGACAAACAGACATTTAAATGAGAGATATAACTAGATACTGAGTAAGACCAGCAAATTTTAAATTGTTACGATAATTCGTTTCAGATAGACTTACTTCCTCAACTCTCTTGGGGACAGTGGTCCTTGACTTTGTGTCGCTGATGGAATTTGGACCTTGGGGAAAAATAGTTGAGTATCCCTGCTCTGACCTATTATTTTACTTATTAATTTTGACCACAAGAAACTATAGAAGAGTAGACAACCTGTATAGTGACTTGATGCAATGGGTTGATTGTCTTCTTAGCTCCTTATTTTTTTAGCCATTAGCTGCCACTGCTGTACTATCGAAGTACCTTTTAAAATATAACCTATGTCATGTGACTGGTGCTTATTGTCATGCAGGACCTGAGACCTCTGTATGCAGGAAGGTGCAAGTACCACTCCAGCGTGATGTCAAGCGACCTGGAAGTGAGTGAAGCTGCCCTTTTGTTTAAATGCTGCCTGTATTACAGAGTAAAGTTTCATTGTATACTTTACAGACTGGCGTGTTGGTCTCACACTTCCAAGGATTTTGGGTTCAATCCCCACGCTTGGATCTAAAACTCTGTTTCCAAAAAAGTTGGGATGCTGTGTAAAATATGAATAGAAACAAAATGTGCTGATTTACAAATCATATAGATCCATATTTAATTGAAAATGGAACAAAGACAGCATATCAAATGCTGAAACTGAGAAATGTCATTGTTTTATGACAACATATGCTCAATTTGAATTTGATGCCATTTACATGTTTCAAAAAAGTTGGCACAGGGGCATGTTTACTACTGTGTTGCATCTCCTCTTCTTTTAACAACACTCTGTAAATATTTGGGAACTGAGGAGATCAGTTGCTGGAGTTTTGAAAGTGAAATGTTGTCCCATTCTTGCCTGATATAAGATTTCAGCTGCTGAACAGTTCAGGGTCTCCTTTGTTGTATTTTTCATTTCATGGTGCACCAAATGTTTTCAGTGGGTGACAGGTCTGGACTGCAGGCAGGCCAGTCTAGCACCCGGACTCTTCTACTATGGAGCCATGCTGTTGTAATATGTGCAGAACGCGGTTTGGCATTATCTTGCTGAAATATAAAAGGCCTCCTCTGATGACGATGTTGTCTGGATGGCAGTATAGGTTGCTCCTAAACCTGTATATATTGTTTAGCATTAATGGTGCCTTCCCAGGTGTACAAGCTACCCAAGCCATGGGCACAGATGCTGGCTTTTGAATTGTGCTTTGATAGCAAGCTGGATGGTCCTTCTCCTCTTTAGCCCAGAGGGTGGGGCGTCTATGATTTGTCTGTTAAACCACAGGACAGTTTTCCATTTTGCCTCAGTCCATCTTAAATGAGCCCGGGCACAAAGAAGTTGGATTCTCAGAATCTTTTAATGATATTATATACCGTAGACGGTGACATTTCCAAATTCTGTGCAAAATTACATTGAGGAGCATTATTCTGAAATTGTTGCACCATTTGCCCACACAGTGTTTCACAGAGTGGTGAACCTCTCCCCATCTTCACTGCACAGAGCAGTGAACCCCTCCCCATCTTCACTGCACAGAGACTCTGCCTCTCTGGGAGGCTCTTTTTGTACCCAATCATCTTGTTGACCTGTTGCCGATTAACCTACTTAGTTGTGAGATATTCAACCCGGTGTTTTATTTTTGCAGTATATGACTGTTCCAGAGTTTTGTTGCCTCTGTCCCAACTTTTTTGAAACGTGTTGCTGGCATGAAATTTAAATTGATCATATATTCATCATAATAAAATTTCTCAGTTTCTGCATTTGATATGCTGTCTATGTTCTATTGTCAATTAAATATGGGCTTATATGATTTGAAAATCACTGCATTTTGGTTTTATTTACATTTTTCACAGCATGTAACACAAGTTTTTCAGGGGAAACAGGGTTGCATGTGTGAGTTTGCACATTTGTTCAGAGGTCCAAAGTCATGTGATGAGGTGAAGTGCTGTTTCCAAGTTGCCCTGAGCGTGCGAGGGGATGACGTCGACGTGAGCGAGTCCCTCTGTGTCTCAGGTGCACTGTCACGCGTCCTCTCAACATTCCTGCAACCTGCGCGTGAAGAGCAATACCTGCTACTGCTGTGAACTCTACACGTGTGGCAGGTGAGCACTTCCGGGTCAGAACCACCTGTGTCTGTTGAGAAATACAAATGTAACCACCATCCCTGTACACCTACTTATTTTCAGTCACCAGGCTGGAATTTCCTGTCGTCTTGTTCTTTTCAAGTCAGCTGTGCTGGGGAGAAGTTAATCAAAGGAAATTGATTAACTAGAATTTATTGTGTAGGAATGCAAGCACAAGGTGTTATGGGAGAAAATCCAGATCTGGAAATGATCACCAACCAAAAAAATCCAAAGTACCTGTTGTCGCATGCTTGTTTCGAGAGAGCAACAGGCTTGCTGTGGGTTTAATAAATTTTGGCGTGGCCTATCAGGAATGCAGTACCTGTATCTGTATCAGATATACTGACATCATCTCAAAAACTGAATAGCCTCTTTTCATCTTGGAATGTCCGCAATGTGTTTTAGTGGCAGTTTTTATGTTTTTGTTGAAAGGGGTCAGGATTGCTTAGTGTAAACTGGGAGCGTGCAAATATTCAATGAGCGACCTAAACACCGTCGTCCCTCCCCACTTCCACTTCATGGGGCAGCCGTGTGGAGCTGACGGGCGGATATCATGAATACACGGAGGTGCGTAGCTGCCAGGATGTGGTGCAGCTGTACCACCTGCTCTGGTTCGCCACCATCCTCAACGTGGTGGCCCTTCTCCTGGGCATCGTGACGGCCGCGGTGCTCGGCGGCTTCAAGGACATGGTGAGCGTGTGAGGGTGTGCCGGCCCTCACGATCCATCCGTCCACCTTCACTGAGGAACATATGAGGTCCCTGTTAGGGTCAGAATCTCAATGTGGTCACCTGGACGTTCTTCCCATTGATATACCATGTAGGAGATGCCTCAATGTCAAAACAACACCTTTTACTCTACCGATGCTAACGAATGCATGTCATTTTCAAGTATCCATTTACTGATTTAATGATTCTTCAACCAGTGACTGTTAGTTCATATTTTTCCACGCATGCATGATTTTAAGTGTCTGGATGCACGTGTCATAACTTAATGTACCACATGAGAGTGTGGTGGAGCAGAATAGCCATCTAGTATAACTGCTTCTGCATGTTTGTTGAAGACACCCACTGGCACCACTGACATCTGTGAGCGAGGCCCACCCCCTGCCCTGGCACCAGCCTCCGCCCTGCCTGAGGTCCCGGGTCCGTCTCACGCCCCTGGCTCTTGCTACAACAGCACCCCCTGTCTGCCACCCTACACCGCATATGATCTGCAGGTATCCTTCTTTGGGGGGTCTGTGATGGGTGCAGATTCTCTTGGCAGCAGCCCGATTCAGCATAATGGGTCTGATATATGTCTACGCGCGTGGCAATTGATTAGACTGCGCTATCCTTCAAAGTTATTAGTAATCTAAGCACATCAGCAGCATTATAAACTCAATGAGTCTTTTCAGCCCAGTGTGTGCCTATGGGTTTAATAACACACCATATAAATTTTGTAGGTATAAAATAAAACATTTAAATCTTCAGCAGGCTCACCTCTTATGTACATATAATTCCCACAGGGCTCCTCCATGTTCCCCGACTCCTCTGGTCTGTCCGACGACTCCCAGTCTGGCGCCAGCTACCTGTGGCCCAGCCAGATCCCTCCACGCTATTCGCCACCATACTACCCCCCTGACGAGAAACCTCCACCCTACAGTCCCTGAAAAGAAGTGGGACTTTGCACGACCACCCTCCCCTGTCGCTGGAGAGCCACTTACATTTGTTGACATATTAAAAGAGAAACCATGCGGGCAACGCTTCCTCGTATCCAGGCAACAGCCGGCAGCCAATAGGAACTGCACTGGAAGCCATCTGATCAGAGTGGGCCTCCCACAAAGGAAGCTGGGACACCGTCTGGGTGATGTTTTCACGGCAAAGGCAACATGTTTTAAAGCTGCAATCAGGCCATACAAAACACAAAGAGCAACCTCTGGCTGGTGACCAACCGATATGCGTGGCTGAATTTGGCATCTTACAGCATCGCAAAACCTTATTCCCACGGACCAACAGAGGGGATCCTTTAAGGTCATTCTAACCCTTCCTTTGCATACAAGCGATTGCTGACCTGAAGGGCAGCCTTTGTGCCACATCGTATCGCCTCTAAAAAGACCAATGTCACAAGCCATCGGCATCATCTGATCATTACTCACCTACTCCACCACTGCAGCTTCCTAGACGTTAGGACATTTAATTGATGAACTGCACCACTGAGTTTCAGTGGCAAATCAAACTGTAGAAATAAGATGCATTCAAAAAGTTTAAAAAAAAAAAAAGGCAACACTTTTTAGAAAAAAAAATACATTTTAGGTAAGAGATCACCTGGCATGTATAATTCTTGATTAATAAACTGAGATATGTTAATGAGCCCCTGTGTGCAGGATTTGATATCAGTTCAGAACCATAAAATGTCATATCAGGATGATACTGGTGTTCTGTATATGAAATGAGCTTCTTTTGGAAGTTTAAACTGTGTAGTTTCCTCTCTGCGTGATTCGCTGTTTTGCTCAAATTCTTTCAAGGCCATTCTTAATCGTTTCAGTATGTGCAAGCTATTCTCTTTTCTGAAGAGCGGGAAAATACTAAAGGATACACAGCAGAAGCATGTAAGTTCAGAGCCCCTGTTCAGTGACACATGTAGCAGAAGCATGTAAGTTCAGAGCCCCTGTTCAGCAAACAGTGGCCGGGGGGGTTCAGCCCCACCACCTCAAAATTACAGAGATAAAAGGCTCACATCAGCTCCATAAACTTTATTTAAGTTTTGTATAGCACTAAGAGCTAATAAATAACTTTGAGAAACACAAAGAAAATGAATGTTAAAATGAAAAAAGGTCTTTAGTACAGTTATTTACACAATACACAGTTGTTAATTTGTTTCCGAAACAATAAAAGCTTAAACTGCTTTTATTTTCTGATAAACAGGGACAGCAAAGACTACTTCTGTAGATAAAAATGATCTCTACTGGCCAACACAGAGCAGCTACATACTGACAAGACACGATTAGAAGTTTAAAAAAAATGTTCATGAAAATTACAACTCTGGTGGCATTTTCTTGCACGAGACAATAGCAACATTCTGAATAGACAGAAAAAGTTCCTTCAAAGGAAATGCACTTCATGTGCTGCAATCTCCCAAGTGCTTGCTTCCTCAGCCAAGGTACAGCGGCGTGAGAATCCTGCTCGGAATATAGAACGAGCATCTTTATTTCCGATAATACTAAAACATGGCCGGCATATAAACTTTTTTAAAAGAGAAAAACCTCACACATACCACACACAGGCCTCAGATCCTTTTAAAGTCTTGGGCTTTGGATTTATCTTTTCATTTTATTAATTTAAAATTTATTTAAATATCACTTTATCCGTTCGTGCCTAAAAAGCCGACTGATTTTGGCCGGTTACAAAAAAAGGGGAGGTTTAACTGAACATGTGCATTTAAAAAGTGAAAATGGAGAATTATCGGCCCAAAACAAACACCACAGCACCTCTGAGGCCACTGTCGTTTGGAAGAAGCCTTGTGCTGCTTACACTCGCGTCTGGGAATCTGTCTGAATGCATTTCAGGTAAAAAAAACAAACAAAAAAAAGTGCTATGGGAAGCAGTTATCTTTAAAAAAAAGTTTCACCTGATGCTTTCACAAGCATCAACCGCCTGAATTACTTATCACTATCTGGACTAGACTGGACAACATTTTTCCGGAGATGTATAGCAGTTTCATTAATACATACAACAGAACACAATAACAACCTGTGTTTTTTCGATTCCATCACCATCGGGACACCATGTCGCTTAGCGCACAAAAAAAAAAATCACTTCCGCTTCCTTGTATCCTGCATTTCAGTTGAAGCTTCCTAAACTCTTAGCTTAGCATATCATTCTCTGATAAAAAGCACCTAAGAACAGTATAGTGCCAGTGGCCTACTTTCCCATGGTTGGAATCTTAGTCATAATCATTCCAAATACTGTTTATGCTCCATACAATAAGTATAGATTAAAGGAGGCAGAACAGAGGAAACTGGCAGCTGCCAATTCTGGTGCTGGTGTGATTTTTCATGTTAATACGAGCCTAGACCATCATTCAGTCATGATCAGTATTATGATGATCATTCACCTGACACCATGTCTTTGGTGGAACTGCTAGTCCTTTGTCCTTTTTTCCACCCCTTCTTACCCCCGCCCAAAAATCCCAAATGTATAACCGTTTCCTTTTCAAATATAAAAATATTGTTTGACTGAAAACAGGCGAGTACAGTTCAAAACTCGGGCTTGAGCGACTCGAGCTAAACGTTCCTCTGTGTGCTTCGTGGAAACAACAGTAAGTGCTGACAGTGACAATGTCGACGAACGCCATAGTGCTGTCTATCCAGAATATAACAATCTCTGCCATTTAAAAGATAAGTGAGAACTGTCGAACAACAATATGAGGCAATACAAAACCATCTGGCTCAAAAACAAAACAAAAACGAAACGAGAGAACAACAAAATAAAAAACCTAGCTATTTCAAGACCCGCCACGCTTGTGCTGAAGCATACTGAAGCTTTCTACACACAACTAGTTTGAAAAACAACAGCTAAACACTTAAGTACGGAACTCTTGTCCTGGACCCTAGAACACAAGACAATGGGAATCCCTGCTTCAAAGGCACAATTCTTAGCAAGTCGAGCTCCTTAAACTCAATAAGTCTCTGGTATAACAAACTCAAACTCTGGTGAGGCCTCGGCTGGATTCACATGGGTCTGTGGCCTGGGCTGGGGCTGGGGTGGGGGTGGGGCTGGGGCTGGGGGCTGTGGATGGGGCTGGGGTTGAGGTGGGGGCTGAGCCCCAGGCTCTACAAAGATATCGTCCCAGTTCAGCACCTTGCTTTGGCTGGGAGGGAGGTGAACAGGAGGGGATGTGTGGGTGCTAGATGGGGGGCGGGGTACCTCGGTCCCCTTCCCAGGCTCTACATGGTAGACTATCCCCTCTTCGTTGATGACAGGAATTCCAGCCGAGCTTTCAGAGACATAGGAGTAGGGCTTGAACTGCAGGGTCTTGCAAGGGAGCAGGCGGTACAGGTTGTTTTCAGTGTCATCCTTCTCTTTGCGGCCGGATGGGTCCTGGTTGTGGACCTGCTTGCAGTGAGAGGAGAGCAGCTGGTAATTTATGAAGAACTCATTGCAGAGCAGGCACTGGTACCTCCTCTCCCCCGTGTGGTAGATCTCATGCTTGGTCCTGTATTCGGCCAGGGCAAACACCTTGTCGCAGTAACGGCAGGGGTATTTCTTCTCCCAGGAGTGTGTGTTGAAGTGCCGTCGCAGGCTAGTCAGACAAACATAAGGACGCTTGCACACGACGCACACATAAAAGGTCTTCCCGTCCATGATCAGTTCATAGTGGTCATCCTGATCGAGCTTTGTTTTCTTCTTGCTCGAAACCCCCCGGGGAGACTGGGGTGATGAATCTGGGGAGAAAGATGACGACATGTGGGATTTCCTAACCCTGCTGGTTTTGGAGTCACCCTCCCCAGGGTCCTCTTTCATGGGGACTATGTCGTAGGTGTTCTCCCCGATGTTAGCGTAGACCTTGCAGCCAGTAGACAGAGAATCAATCTCTGAAGCTTTGTCTAGTGTTATAGTCTTTTTCCCTACTATCACTGTTTTGGGGCTCTGGATCCCTGGTCCATTTTTGCCGCTTCCTGACCTCACATCTGAGAGCTTTATTTTGAAATCCCCAGGCTGGGCAGTTGATTTCTCTAAAACTGTAGTCACCTGCTTTTTCTGCACACCCAGCACCTCATTAGCGTGTGGCAGCATTTCTCTGGTTTGGGGGCTGTTGAGGGAATCTATGTGTGAGCTGTTTACATGCGGTGAGGGAGCTGGTGGAGTGCATAAGCTACCAAAAGAGGTTGGTCCCATGGGTGGCTGGACATTATTGGTGCTGGTGTTTGGGGATACCATTGGGCTGTGTAGAGGAGCAGGCAGAGGGCTAGGAAGAATACTGTGGTCAAGCTGGATCTGAGTGGGGCTGCTGTGGAATGAAGATTTATCTCCATCCATGTTCCCAGCAGATGGAGTAACATCCTTTATCTGCGAGCCCCCATCCTCTTTGATCACAGCCTGGCCCGCTTCAGGACTTATGCTATCTTCTGTCCCGGACACCGCATCCTTCTCTTCAGGACGCTTGTCGACTTTTTCAATCTCGGGGCACCTCTCCATGACCTCAGGACCCTCTGCACCAGCAGTGCTGCTGGAGACAGTGGCTTTTTCAGGTGCCTCTTTTGAGACTAAAAGGACATCGTCGTTGGTCGAGTTTCCCTCCTTATCCACGCTGCCATCTGTCTGCTTGAACTCTTCGGCAGATAGGGAGAACGTCTCCGTGATGATTGGCATGCACAATGATCCTGCTTCTGGGCAGTGGACATCATTTTTGGTTTGTGCATTCTCGCCACTGCCCAAAGCATCTCCCCAGTCTGGGACTTTGGACAAGCCTGGCAAACCCCTCACCTGGGAAAGTGGGACACCTAGGTTGGCAATGAACTGCACACCCAAGGTCTGGCCAGCCTGGATGACCTCCTGAAGCCTGTCCGAGCGAATCCGACAGAGTTTGGAGCTGTAGATGTAATTCAGAATTTCCTCAAAGATCTCTGCCTTAACAAAATTCAACTCGATCACCTGTCCCGCCACTGAAAAGAGCTGGTGAAAATATGAGCTGGATGCCGACAGGATGTTCTTGTGAGCTCGGAATTTGCGGTCTTGCACTATTATGGTAACATCACAGAACAGTCCGGCATTGCGCTGGTCGTCGATGGACTTGAGCAGAGATCCTGAATACTGTATGTCCGTCACAGTGATCAGCTTTAAACTCGTCATCCCTGCATGAGTTGAATTGGGGGAAAGGACAAAAAAAAAAAGAGAAATGATCCACATAAATATCTAATTGTGACAACTGTAAAATAACTGTGTTGTGAGTAAACACATTTACCATTTGCCCCAAACATTGCCACAGGTCAACAGTGGCAACTGGTGCTGAAAGATTAGTCTAAAATCTAAGATTTATAAAAGAAACCCTGCACCTCTGCAGAGAAAATATCTCCAAATAATAAACATGCGTTTTGTTTTAAAGTGACCTCTAAATTAAAACAGTATTTTTAACAATATATGTGTAAATCTGTCAAAAGATATAGAGCAAGCAGAAATGTATTTGGAAGGCAATGGTGTTGCATTTTAAAAATTCAAAGATATTGCAATAGACTAAAAATATATATGCGGTATTTTGTGACGACTACGCATTACATTTTCAAGACTGGCGGGAACTTAAATGAAAATACACTATAGCATTTAGCGTAAATTTAATTTAAATTATAATAACAACATAAAAAACTAATTAACCACACGAAGTTGCCAGTGCATTTCCTGCTTCACGTTGCAATTATTGCACGCTTCGCTGCATGTTTGCAGAGCAGAGTGGGTTAACTTTGACTACAGCAGTTATCTCCAGACCTTGAATTATTCTGAACAAAAAAAATCCTCCTTCCACCCCCCACATGCAGGTGAACGTTTCGGTACATTTTCGGGGGCTGGTGGCCAAGGCGACCCGAGCTGATTTTCATTCGGAGTTGCCGTAGCCGAAGAGCAGGTGGTCAGACCTTTTGTTTTGTTGGTATTGCTCGCTAGCCGACTAGCTACTTGGCTCGCAACACATGCAACCGTCCCTTTCTCGTCGTTCAGCACCTCCAGCGCGAACTAACAGCAAAAATATCTTACAAATGCATAAAGTCTTATATTAAAGGCAACGTTGCATTATTGAGAGACATTCCCGTATATTAACGGCGGTCCCTGCCACATCTGAGAGGTGTGTATATACACATGCACTTATATGCACAAATACAAAAAGATAAGTTAAGCTAGCCAATTTATTGCCAGTGTGTATAGGTGCTGGACGTTATTAAGCGCTTCAACTTATAGACGTTTTGCCTTTGTAATAGCAATTAAGTGCCATACATGTATTCAGACGGTCGTATAATCATGAGGACACTCGCTAAATAAGTAGCTAGCTAAGTAAATGAAAAAGAAACGCGTTTTCTCAATGGATCTTCCTTCCTGGTTCACGGCGGGTTGCGGCCTTATTTGCCGATATGTGATCTTTTCATTTATTTTAAAAGGAAAGTAAAGACTGAGCGATCCGATTACCACAGAAATGAGATGTATGAGCGGAATCGGGCGTTTACCTGCAAAGCCAAGCCTTATGCCTCCGCTTTCTGTCTGTTACAATGTGTCTCCAGACAACAAAACGTAGCTCCGCTCCCGCAGCCGACACAAGCTGCTAGTTAATCGCACGACCAACAGGAGTCGCAGCCCACATAAACTCAGCTTCTAGTTGCGTGTTTTGAAACCCAATTGCTCCTCCACACGACTAAGAGCTAAGCTTTTCCAGTACAGCGAAAGCCCATCAACTTATTATTATTACCATATATTTTTTAAACTTTGTCGGCTATGAACAATTAACTTTACCATTGCCTTGTTTTTATATGGACAACTTAGCCGAATGGTACAGCTACATTCTCTGCAGTTAAAAAAAAGTGTTTGTGTGGCAACAGTGTGCATGGTAAAAAAAATGAAATGACGTCGCGGCCAAAGTTGGAAAAATGCGACAAGCGTATCGTATGGACGCACACATTTTATTCGAAACGTGTTTCCATGTTAGAAGTTTGGCAGAGCGCCTGTCATTGAAAGCGGCAATGTTGGGAGCGGAACGAATGCGAATGTGCCGTATTTCCCGGGGTCCCTTTTCAATGATACACCGGGAAGCCGGATCGCGTAACGCTTGGAGCCAGTGTGTAGAGTCGCTATCATTAAAATGAAAGGAAAAAAAACCTTCTTCCTGTGCTCGCCGGCTTTTCTGCGTGTAAATGGGGTCGACGTCGCTTAAACGCGCTGACACTCGGACGTGTGCATCACAGTAACGCTTTTGTGTCTATTGAGGAAATGTGGCAGAATGTATATGTGGAGCTTGGCAATGTCAGTCCGATGTGCTGTATTGTAGCTAGACACGTAGCGGTGACTCGTCGACCGAATGCAAGCTGAAATCCCGAAAAACGGGCATTCAGCACATATCAAAGTCAAAATTTGTACATATATACAAAGCAAATCGCCATGAAAAAGATGTTGACATTTCCAGAAGTCGAGCGTTTAATCAAGGGACGTGGAGAATGAGAAGTTCGCTGTGACAGTTACGTAAAAAACACCTTTAGGGAATAGTGGGTAGTTCAACATTTAAAATACTATAATTAAGTCATAAGGTTGACTGGGAAGATGATGTATTCTTCACGAAGAAAACCGGTTTTGTATTTCAAGGAAGACAGAAGGTGAGTAATATTATGAGGTCAGTTAAACATTTGCCATCTATAGGATTGTATTTATGGCAAAACACCTGGATTTCCAGTATTAACATTTACCTGCCTTATCTATGTTCAAACGGGTTTAATTATTGTCGTAATTAAGACTGACTTGGTGCCACTTTTCCTTTATTTAGCTTGTTGCAAAATAGCTAGATTAGGGACAAGACAACAGCTGTCATTTTATGAGTAAGGTTATGTGAAAATAAAGGCCCGTATATTATCAGCGTATTCAGTCTGACTTGGCTGTTCTGTTAACATATCTGCATGACCAATTTTTATATAATAATACAAGTTTTATTTAACTGGTGAGTCAGAATTTCGCTGAACACTGGTACATGTCCCTGGGAACAATCTTTCAGGTCCGACATGCAAAAATGCCCCTCTCCTCCCAGAAATAGTCTGTGAGTACTGAGTAACTGACTGCTCGGCATTTCATGGTTTGAACGTACTTTTCTGTGAACCGGTGCTTGAAGTGGACCTCTGTCTTGTTAACCAGTGATTTCTTAATTAACAAGTTGCGTGATTGCTTGACATCTATGTTGATGTGATACAGCCTCCCAAACCACACTCACTGAAAGTACACAGAATTAACTGAAACGGTAAAGTTGGTGCAGGTCGACGTTTTGCATTTGCATGTTTTAAGCTGAAGAATTGTGTAGCTATTAGCATTGGTTTTACGTGTTGATCTCAGAGTAAATGCTTGGTACTGTGTTTCACGGTGAGCCCGCTAGCCTTCAGGTGAATGTTAAATCTCTCTGTTTACAAGCATGAATAAATGACAGCAGTATGGCAAATATGGACGAGGGTCGCTAAATTACCCAGTGGCTGTGTTTTAATGGTGGATTTCTTCTGCTCTACAGCAACTACATTACAGTACTGCATAGGCTGATTCAGTATAAGGAAAATCCAGACCTAGCCAGACAGTAAAGCACACTAAAATAGTCTCTTCTGTGGCAGTATGACATTGACAGAATTGAGTTTTTTTTTATTGAATTTCCCCCCTTTCTCCTAGGTTCCTGTCCCAGAAATGCACCGTGTTCAAGCTCTTTTGTCTGTGCATGGTGCTGGTGTTGGGCTCTCTCTTTTGGCTCCAGCTCAGCTGCTCTGGTGACATGAGTCAGATCTCTGTGGAGGATGGCCACCTGCCCCAGAAGCCCTGTCCGCTAGGGAAACAGGCACTTACAGTGGATGACCCATCATGGGGTCCTCACAAGATGGCGCTGCTCATCCCTTTCCGTGAGCGCTTTGAGGAGCTGCTTGTCTTCGTCCCATATATGCACTCATACCTGAACAAGAAGAAGATACGGCACAAGATTTTTGTGATCAACCAGGTGGACCACTATCGGTAACTTGTGCTACTTTCACTATCACATTGCTTTTTTTAAAAATTATTTTTAAAGTATCCTGTTCCAGGTTCATAGTAAACTTACTCTAAGTGGAAAAGGTTGGGAAACTGCAGACCTCTAGTAAACCCAGAGGTTTCTGTATTCCCTTTTGGCTTTCAAAGCAATATATAACAACAGTATGGAGGTTCTAAGTCTTCTTATTCACTTCTGATCTAAGAAAATGATTGTCTTAGAATCTGTAGTAAATGTCAGTGTGACATGGTGCTTCGATAGGTAGCACTATTGCCTCACACCTCGAGTGTTGGGGGTTGAATCCTGTCTCCCCTTTTTGTGTGTTGAATTAACATCCTTGTGTCATGTGGGACACCTTTGGGAAGTGCAAAGACCTGCACTTAGACTATCTAGTATTTCTGAATTGCCCATAATGTACGATTGTGTGCGATGGTCTGTTATGAACTAGCGTCTCATCCAGGATGTAACCCTGCCTTGTAGAAGCAGGAATTGGTAGAGACCTCCTGATTCGATAATAAGACGGCTAGTGCAGCCCTGCAAGTAGATGTTCATTACGGAAAACATTATACTACGTCGTGTTAATTGTGGCTGAGAGTTGGTTATGGCTAGTGCTGGAGAGCTCAAAGACCCTCCCAAATCACTTAAATTGGTAGTTTGAGAACATTTTGGTTTCTCAATAAATTACACCAATGCTGGAGAGAGAAGACCAAGACAGTCTGTCAGCTCTGTTATTCCAAACTTCCTTATGTTGTTGGAAGTACATCCAACATGCTAACTCATTTACTCATTTAAGATAACATCGTCTGAGCAGGGGCACTGTATTTGGGGGGGAAGGTACGTTAATTCCAAGGGCCCATGTAGTGCCGGGCGGTATACCGGTTCATACCGAAAAACCGTGTTTTATTATTGTCATGATATGAATTTTTCTTATACCGCAATACCGGTTCAAATAGCCTACACAACGTTCGGAAAGTGGCGCAGCTGGAAACTGTTTAAGGGGGGACCTTTTTCACTGCTGCACCACTAAAAGTGTACCGCAAAAGATCATAAACGAAAGATATAGCTGACGCTGGAGTTGAAAATAATGAGACACTGGGGATGTCAAAAATCGATTCTCAGATACTAATCGATATTAAAAAATTAGTATCTGATTAGATACTCATTTTCACCATTATTGATACCAACAGTGCGGTTTTCGCCTCAGTCGCCACACTTCACACAGCACCGCTACAGCACGGGCGCGTGCGCACACACTAACTCGCGCAGCCCCTCCCCTCCTCTCAATAGCCACTGAACACATTTGCACTGGTTAACACACACATACCGAGTTGGCCGAACATAGCATATGCTGCAGTTGAAGGCATTTCACATGCTGCTTTAGTTAAAAAAAAAAAAAAAAAAAACGCAAAAGTGCTGTTTGGAAGTATTTTGCAGACGAGCATGGAAAAGCTAAGGACGTCGATAAGCCTCTGTGCAAACAGTGCTACAAAGTTGTGGCGACGAAGTCAAGTAGCACGTCAAACCTGGCGAAGAATCTTAACCGACATCCCGGTCTTTACGAGAAATTTCGCGAGGTCAGTAAAGCTCGCGTTCCAGCAACACTGAACTATTAAACACTTATCAAAAATGTTAACTTGGCCAGTGCACACCTTAACATTAGCTGTTTATCTGTAAGTAGTTAGCCAACAAACACATTAGCCATATCATTAAGGTAGCGGATAGGCGCAATGGTTAATAATAAAATAATATAGTTAATGTGGGAACAATGCAAAAATGTAAAACAAAAAATGTGTCCTGTAAAATGTGGTAAACGCCCAGGCATACTTTCGAAAAAAAATACCGTCGTATACCGTGAAACCAATATAACTTAGAAAAATACCGTGATATAAATTTTTGGTCATACCGCCCAGCTCTAGGCCCATGAGTGGCAGGGAACCTAAAAAATTTGGAACATAATTGGACTGGTCTGGGTTGGGGGCCCAATATGATTTGCTTTCACAACGTCCAAAGTCTCTAGCAGCACCCCCACGTCCGAGTGTGTGTACAAGGCAGAAACAGAAGCTGCAAGTTAGTCTCCCTGTGGCATTTAAGGCCCTTTCTCCAGGAAATTCAGTTCAGGCTTAAAAAAAAGGCTATTAGGGTTTATCACTACAGATATGCGACCGTACTCTGTAGTAGAGAACTCAGGATTTAATTAAATTGAGATGTGATACATTTCAATTTTTATTTTGCATATTTTAGTGTGCAAATGAGCATGCCTTAGGTTTTGTTCATTCAGACATGTTGACAGACGGGCCTTATGTTTGGTTTACAACTATTCATAATTGTGTTTGCAGTTTTAATAATAAACTCTTTTGAAGCAAATTATTTCCCAGCTGTACCGAAAATTGCACCGAAACGGTGAATCCACAAACTTGGTGTGTACCAAAACGTAAATTTTGAGTACTGTTACACCTCTGGTAAAGACTGTGTCTTCTTATATTGAAGAGCCTTTACTGAGGTATTCGTTAAGGTTGTTGACGGTCGCTGCCTTACACACGTACTGTAGCTGCAGGTTTGTGGTCATCCAGCTCAGGGTTTCAAGAAAGATGCATGTGAATCTTAGTGCTATTACCGCATTATTTTCCTGTGGCAAATCTTGCAAGGTGACATTTTACTTTATATACTCCAAAGTTTGCCCAAACCTTGGACAGAATTTATTTTGAAAAGATTTATTATTAACACTGCAAGCACAAACACAGTTAGGAACAGTAAATCAAAGGCAGTTGGTTTGTTGATGTGTTTGAATAACAAAACACATTTACATTGCAAAAAAAAAACAAATATCTAAAATATAACATCATAACAATCATAATGAATTAAATCCCTGTTCTGTAGTGATAAACACCCCAATAGTCTTAGTTATGGTTTTGTTAAACCCAGTATGAATTTCCTAGTAGAACTGCCTTTAATGCCCCAGGGATAGTAACTTGAAAGGCTGTTTCTGCTTAGCTCAGGTCATACACACACTTAGATGATCATCACAAATGATTTCGAAGCGTTTCCACCAATATAGCTGAATTCAGTATAACAGAGCTGACGGACAGTCTCAGTCTTATTAAATGATGTACCAAATGGCATATGATGAATATGAGTGCCATTACAGCTGTAGGTGCTGAAAATGTATATGCACATGCCTGCTCATTTATGATAGAATCGTGCCGCACTCACTCCCGTAACAAAACCAAGCAGTGTGTGCAGTTGGGTCAAAAAAACGTGATCAACAAAATTACTTGCATTTAATGTTTAAAATACATTTTTAACTGTTCTGGAATTGCAATTTGTAAGTGAATATTTTTTCTCCTACCAGGGTGGGGTAGATTTTGCTGACTGGGGAGCGGAAGCAATTACCGGGGGGGGGGGGGGGGGGGGGGGAGTCTTTTGCCCACTTTTAGAATGCAGCAGAGAGACACACAAGGTAAATGATACTGGCTGTGTATGCATACTTGACTTGTAAATTACAAAGTGCTTAACATGCAGAGGAGGGATACGCGATATTTGAGGAATAGGTGGCAGGCCGTGTGCAATGTGATCAGCATAATTATGTGTTAGCCTGAGTGCAATGGGTTTCCCTTTGTAGGGCTGTCATGTGGAGACGTATCTGCTGTGCTCTTTGCTTCAGTTACCGCAGGTCCTCTGGTGTGTGCTTGGTACGTGCAGCCAGTAGCCTGATTGTGCTTGGGAATATCAGGCGTCGGGCAATTTTCCCTAAAGACAAGATCCAAAAATCACACAATAACATGGATTAAATAAAAACCGACTGATGGGAAATACTCCCACCCCCGGGATCAAACCCAGGACCTTCTCGCTGTGAGGTAGTAGCACTAACCACACCGCCCTGGTTGGGCACCCTTGAATGGAATTGGAGATCTGCTTGAAATTCCAATTCGGTTCATGAAATTGGTTGAACACAGAATGAAGAATCAGAATTTTAATTTGAATATAAGGAAGGAGAATTAAAATGGAATTTAATTCACGTAAATTCATATACTGTAAAAGTACAGCTTAATTTACAGCTTAATATGTCATATGAGCTGCACATAACGTGTTAACATACACAGCATGTTAAGCAACACAAACTGAATCCCCAGTCGGTAAGGCTCCTCTGTTCCAGCACCTGCCCAAAACGTCTGTGCACATCACTGTTATTCAAAATGTGTCACCTATAGAATAAATAATGGTTATTTTGTGGTCCACGGTGGAAGAGCACAACCCTATCACAACCCAATGGATCTGACAAACCAGTGACACTCATAAGAAAAGCTACTGCAGATTCCTCACAAAACACACATAGACAGATAAGTATGCAAAAATAATAAATATATACACATTGAAAAGGACTTAAAGGGCCAACATAAACCAAATACCTATTGTTAAAGTAAGCTAAAACAATTAGGCCTACACAATTTTTTTTTTGTACAATTATGTAAATATGAAGTATACTTCATTCACTGCCATCTGGAAAGTAAATATATATTATTTTTTCCCCTTTATTAAATTACATTGCTCGGGGATCTAGACTGCGACCTTGTATTTAGAATGTGCGACTTTAAATTTCACTTGGTCGCATCTGTGCGAGTGTATGATAATCATTTGGATGTTTTGCTCTAACACGAGTAGTGCGTTAACGAATTGTGACTTTTTTTTCTTCTTCCCTGGTGTGACTTTTTTTTGCTGAATTGGTCTCTTTACCTGCACATATATACGCACAGTGTTAAAATGCGCGAAACCGCGGTCGCTGTGGTGGTATAAAAGGAAGCGGGCTAGGTGATTATTAAAAAGGCAAGATAAATGAGGTGGCGGATGGGGCGCTGGAGCCAGAGAGAGGTCCCGAGACAGACACAAGTGATGATGAGAGTTAAACTGTGATCTTAAAGCTAATGTTCAGATTAAAATATTTTACAAGAGCAGTAATTTACCTCCTTCGCATTTGACATTCGCAGTTTTGGTCTTTGGCGAGTTAGCCGTGAACAATTAAACGGGGATATTTTTGGAGGGAAGACCGAAAGATCACAGAAACTGGCGACGCGTAAGCCGAACACAATACTGAAAATGAATTGGTTCACGACATCGTATTACATAAATATTAGTAATGGATAATATTTGTTCGTGTAAGTAGAAGTTTTGGCTTTGGTACGCCGCACACCATTCTCTCGGCAGCTAGCTGCACTGACGGCGTGTAATCTCCTGTTTCTCTTAGTAACTCTTCATTGATGTTAATTTTGCAATAATAATAATTTTAATAATGAGTGTAGTGCTGACAGTGCGCGCAGTAGTTATATAGGACATACCGGGGCATAATTTAGATGGTTCATATATTATGTAAAAATGTCTTGATAGAAAATGACAAAGTAATTTGTCATACAAAGTGTACAGCACAATACTGTTTGTTTAGAAATTAGTAATGAAAAGTGCGACCACTGGACAAGTTAGTCTGGAGCCCTTTTCCTGTGTTGTGCGATTGCATTGAATTTCTTGGATTAAAATTAATTTAATTCTTCCTGTCATTCCAGAATTTCCAATTCAGCACCTTGTGGGGTGTGGCCAGTTCATTTCAAATTCATGAATGGAATGGGGCACAATTCATAAATTCTGAACAGCACTGGTACATAACAAGCTAATCAGTCAGACTTGCTATGTGTTTAGTCACATCCTATAAAGTGTGACGATGAATCACCCATTACTACCAGCTACGACAATTTGTGCAGAGACACGAATACATAGCGCTGTCCAAAAAGTCAAGTGGCTGGTCTAAATGCTGTTTTGTGGGTAGACGTGAAACCCCCTGGACCATCTCAGTGATCAACAATTAATAGCAAAATAAGAAATGAGCTTCCTTGGTCTAGTGTCAGGTAAACTGAAAAGAGGAACACATGGGGATCATGCCCTCATTGCCATTGTGCAGCTTCTGACAGCTCTGCTTCTGTGCCACCGGTGGATACCTGCAGACTGTGGCGGTGATGAACATGGCCTCCTCTTAGCCAATACCTGCTGATTCCAGTGTTGAATCCTCAAACTATGGCTGAAGAAGGGTATAACAACACGCCAAAGGACATATATTATAAACACAGCTCTAATTTGTTTTTATTGGTTTTCTATTTCTTACATTTGCATATGTCCAATGTGACAATCATATATATTTCACCATTGAAATATGTGGGATCGATGTTCCTGTCGTCGACGGTCTCTGCCTGGGGAGGAGCCAACAAAGAACTTTGGTTTTTTATGTTAAATCTGGAATTACGTAGTCGTTTGGGAAATACTAGCAAATCTTACTCATTCTTTACCTATGTCATTCTTTATGTTGTTCGTTATTGTTAAGAATGATTCTTATTGGGAAACACGCCCCAGAATGTTTGCCACCTTGTCACACGCGTCTTTTTCCGACGTAGGTTTAACAGGGCCTCCCTGATCAACGTTGGCTTCCTGGAGAGTGGCAATGACACCGACTACGTTGCCATGCACGATGTGGACCTGCTGCCTCAGAACGAGGCTCTGGACTACGGCTTCCCGGAGGAGGGGCCCTTCCACATTGCCTCACCCGAGCTGCACCCCCTGTACCATTACAAGACCTACGTGGGTGGAATACTGCTGCTGACCAAACAGCATTATCAGAAGGTTAGCCCGCCCCCTTGCACCATCTAAGCATGGTCTGTAAGAGGCCTGCCAGGTTTCCAGCTCTCTGTAATCACCTAATGAGAGGAGTGATTTAATTAGCGAGATAATTAGTCCTATCGTGCTTAAGTGTTTGCCAAGTCAGAAAGCGGCATATACTGGGCCCACCAGACCCAGGACCTTGAGCCATTGACGTAAATGCTTGTGGATGTTTGTCGTCTTCTGAGATGGACAGGAGGTCCAGGCTGACTGGTGAGATGTTTGAGGCACTGATGTCACACCACATTCATGGTTGAGAGTCACGCTTTGGCCTTTATATTTGACCATGACCCTCAGTTGCTTGGTGTGAAATGACCGTAAAGAAAGTGGGACAGCAGTCTGGCATATTTCTTGCGTCCTATGTGTTCACGGCCTGTGATGTCATGTTTCTCCCTGATGTTCCAGTGCAATGGGATGTCCAATCGGTTTTGGGGATGGGGTCGGGAAGATGACGAGTTCTACAGGAGGCTGAAAACAGCTGGATTAGAGGTACAGAAACTTGAGGTTGCTTCCTTGTGCGATATTATGACCTGGCAATGGCCCCTATGGGCCAGTTTATACTCGGTGCTCACAATCTGTTTGCATAGGCATCATGGCCACCATCTCTTCCTGCTTTCATTCATTCCACGCAATTTTTGTGCAAACCGTGTCATATATACAAAGTACAGACGCTCCTCTACGAACTTTCAACTTACGAACTTTGAGACATATGAACGAAGAGGACTGTAAGTGTAGCACAAATACTCTCAGCATACTAGTTCTTTGTACTTGCGTATACCCTTAAAATGATGTTGAATAATGACTTACGAACATTTCAAGTTATGAACGGCTGTTCGGAACGTAACTCATTCATAAATCGAGGAGTGTCTGTATAATATGTATGTATGGTGCTTTGCTCGTCTTCTTCCAGTGTTCATCTTTAATAGCTTGTGGCATTTGAGGCCACAAACTCATACAAACAAGTAAGACCAGAAACTATTTGGCCGACCAAAATTATTTCTCGCACTGCCTCCTGGTGGACATAACTTTTAATCCTCCAGATTGACATCAACTATGTTGGGAAACATGACTCGGCAGCAACATCACTCGCTTAGTCACGGCACGTGCAAATGTAACAGTTTTCTGAATTGACCGGGTGTGTTTGGAAACACCAGCATCATATACAATCACAGACTTTGAACACTGGTAGATACAGGGGGAACCTAAGGATTCTGCAGCTTGGCTGCTTTTCCCTGGACAAATAGTTCTGTCTCTAAATTTGTTGCATGTGATATGTTTTCCCCATGTCCAGCTTTTCCGGCCCACTGGCATAAATACTGGCTACAAAACCTTTCGACACATCCATGACCCAGCTTGGAGAAAGAGGGACCAGAAGAGGATCGCAGCACAGAAGCAGGTAAATTGCAGTCAGTGCCTGCATGGTAGTTTCACAGGTTGAAGTTTTAGCTACTGCATGTTTGTGAAAGGTCTGAAAAACGGCTGTTTATGAACTTTGAATATTCCTTTACTACTCAAGGAATCTGCCTCGTGTCACCTGATCCTTTATTGTCATACTTCCACTACTTCATTTTTAGTTGTCTTCTTGTGATGATTACTTGCTTCCAAAAGTTATGAATCAGGGACGTATTAATTGGTTAGACAATACGTAAAGTTCCTATCCCTTAATGACCGCTGTGCTGTTCCCATGGAAACAGGAGCAGTTCAAAGTGGACCCAGAGGGCGGGCTCACCAACCTGCAGTACAAGGTGGAGTCCAAGCAGGAACTGGCCATCAGCGGCGCCCCCTGCACAGTAGTTAATGTTGAGCTGGAGTGTGACCAGAACCATACCCCCTGGTGTCTGCTCAACTAATTCCACTCCCCCCCCACCTGACTGTTGTGATTCCATGTGCTGGTCACCCATTGGGGTGGGTGAGGATGACTGTATCATCTGACCTGGGGTCGTGGGCAAGTGGCATCAGGAAGGCATTGTGCCACAGAGACTGGGGTATTCCCAGTGTGAATTACAACCCTTTACTGTGGACAAGCTGCAATACAAGTTACAGACTGATTTGCAGGGAGTGGACTTGACGGCTGAAATCGGTGGATTTCTTGAGCTGACATGGGCAGAGATGATGGCCTAGTAGCCATACAGTATTGTTTTTTTTTGTTTGACTTTAATTTTATTTAGTAGCCTTAGATAGTGAAACTGCAGATACTTGGTGAGTGCGGCACAGGTACGTCACTGTTTCAGCCCGGTACGCCAGTGCACCATCAAATCATCGTCTCCTTTCTGAAAGACGGCAGCTGAGAGGTGCAACAAAGTTGCAGAACTGATGCGAACTGTAGGGGGCGCCGCAGAGCTCGAGGGCCTCAGAACACCATGTGCTCCGCCCTGCCTCTCAGGTTCACATGAGTTCATTTACTGGCTGTTATAGTATATATTTTTTTCTGGTACCCCCATAGACATCAGGTGGCATCAATACGTTTAAGACAGTTCAGTGTTTCCACTGCTCTATTTGCACACTATTTATACAAAGCTAAAGGTCTGGAAACTTATTCTGTGCACGGTCTGCCGTCTTCCTCTCAGTGTTGTATTAAACATTTTTTAACAAAAATATCTGTGTCTTCATCAGTAGTTCCTTTGTTAGAATAATATATCTCACTGCAGGCAACTGGCAAAATGCAGAGACCTGCAGGTGGTGTCTATCTGCTTTTATTTCTTTTTATTGTGGAGTTATTCTCTCTGAAGACCCCCCACAACATTCATTCTATCATATTTTTTCTATACCTGTGTGGGTGCAGAGCCTATCCGGGAAACAACGGCTGCAAAACAGGACGGGGCTAATTACCCATCATTCACATACATAAAATTCCAGCCCAACATGTTTTTGGACTCTGCGGGTGATAACCCTACATAGACATGGGGAGAACCGTTAGAACCGGGGCGGAGACTCGAACCCCAGTTTCCATTGAGGTGACTAATTTTTAGTAAAATATCACTCTTGAGAGAAAGAGGTTAAAAATGACCTTAGGGTTAATGTCAAAATTCTGAATAATTACACATTCATTACTATAATTGTATTACATTATGAATCACTTATAAATGGAAATATATAATATCTGTATGTAAATGAGTCATAAAGTAATTAGCGCCTTTTTATATTTCGCTTTTGTTGGAAGACACACCATGTGACTTTACGTCCAGCGTGTTGATTTACTGACGTCTCACCGCCAGATGGCGCATTAATGCAATCTCCAGGTAGTTGTTCTTAACCGTTTTATTTTAATTAATTGAAACATTGAAAATGATACTTAGGGGCAAATAATTATATTACAGTGTCCCAGCAGTTTTTACATATATACTGTATGTAAGAGCAGCTGAGTAGCTGCTCATGTCTCCTGTTCCCATGCGACCTCGATATAAGGCTCATTTCGCGTGTTTCTATGTAGAACCCATAACTATGAAACTTGAAAGTTTGACACCCGTCACTATTAAAGGGCTTTTATATGTTAAATGTGCAAAACCACAGGTGCTTAAAATAATCCCGTATCCTATTCTTTCAAGTGTGACTTAAATCTTAACAGTCCCTCGGAAAAAGCCGTGAATTGGAGCTTTTAAGAGCCTTTGAACCCGGAATGCATCCAGGCCTCTGTATTTGTGGCGTGCTTAACCGCAAGAGTTACCAATACTAGAAGTTACACCAATTATTCGTTGGATCTAAAATTAAATGTATAATTATTTTCTATATTTTAATTAGTAAGTTGCATTGATTTTTATACGCATAAATAAACCAACTTTAAACACCTACAGTGCATGGGAACATTAAAGTTTACAAGCTGCGTAACTTCGCTAAGTGCATGTACGTTTCCTATCGAGTTCTGTATTTCTTTTGTTACTTTATTTCCATGTACAATTTGTTTGAATTCGATTGCGGCGGTGCTTGGCCACGAAATTACTTGTTTTGAGTCTTGGTGAAAAATAACCAGTAATGGACTGTCCTCTTGCCAAGGCGACCGTAGTAAGCCTCGCGTAAGGGCTTTGGCTGATTAAACAAATTAGCATCTGACCCAATCGCAGCCTAGTAAAGTCTCCCGTAGTAATAAATCGTGAAAAATCGCAATAAGCTCAGTAGCGCTTACACACTTCATTACCTCTTTCGTGGCAGGGCCCAGGTGGAAAAAGTCAACAATAGCTTTGAATATCTTCAGATTTGTATCCATTCATAAATAAAACTAAAAGAGACATACGCTTTGTTATTTATCAGTAATCACATACGACAATTACATGCCCGCGAAATTTCGTTTCGATTTCATATGGAATACTATACAAATCAAATGTGATAAGTTATTGTGAATATCATATAATGTCAAATAACACTGATATAGGCCTACATAATTTACCACTATGTGTACTTCTAAACGGTTTTACTTGAATGTTTCTTTCCATTGATATATTGTATTTCATTTTAAGCGGCTAAGTAGCAATATCAACCGTAATGGGAGTAGCCCATTTGATACTTTAAAAGCTTGTTTGGCCAAAGATAAAGCATTCCGATGCAAGCAAAAACGTGAATTTTAATTATGGGCGTTTGTCGAAACTGCCCGGTAATTTTGATTTGATTGCTCGTATTATGCGAAATATAATAGTTCGGAGAAAACCCTTTTGTGGCCGATTATGGTTTTGCACTTAGAGTGATTGAGGATATTTGTCACTTCGTCAGCTCACGGGCAGTAAAACCTCAGAAGCCATTATTGGGAATTTATCGGGTCGTAGTTGATCCATTAGCAGCCTCTAACCTTAACCGGGACCCTCATCAAGCTACATTTAACTCTAATCTCTTCAAAGGGAATTCTCGCCTTCATTGTGTCAACACCCCGGGGCACACTTCACCCAATCCGGTGAAGCGGGGTATAAATCCCTAGTCACTAGAGCCTGCGACACTCAGAAACCCTCATAGGAGCGAGGACGAATTGCGGCTGACGGGGGAGAAATTACAGCGATCGGGAATGGATACTGCGCAATTCAGCTGGTCAGCCTACGGCGCGATGAGCAGCAAAGGCCAGGGTACGAGCGGGGTCAGGAAAAGCTCATTCAGCATCGAGGCGATCCTCTCCCGGGGTAGCCCGGAACCCATCCAGCGGAGCATGGGGACGCAGTGGGCGCCCATGCACACAGCAGCAACCGCCTCGCCGATGTGGCCTCCAGCTGGTTACTTAACTACCAACACGCCTTATCCGCATTTTTACATGAGTTACCAGCCGCAGGACGAGAACAGCGACGTGCATTATAACAACGGTAAGAGAAGCTCCTAACAAACTTGTCAATGCAGATATTATGAGACGGGATCGTTACGATAATGCCATCTGCTTTTGCCATTTTTAGGATACGCTGCTTCCTGTGGAAAATTAATATCTAGGAGGAATTACGTGCGGAGAACCTGTAGGCGGATCCGGACCATCTTCACGGACGAGCAGCTGAAGAAGCTGGAAGAAGTTTTCAGCAAGCAGCGCTACATGACAGGGACGGAGAAGGTGCTGCTGGCGTCCGCGCTGCAGCTCTCTGAGACGCAGGTCAAAGTGTGGTTCCAAAACCGGAGGACGAGGTGGAGAAAGACCCAGGAGGACGACGACAAGACTGGCGGCTCCACGGAGACCAGCGGCACCAAACAGGGCGCATCTGAACGAGACAGCGGCTCCTGGTCTCCGTAACGAAAATTCAGAGATAAGATGCCGTAATGCTATGCGCGGTTTTACGAGTACTTGAGTATTCTTGTTAAGCAAGAAAGTTGTGTTATACTGTAAACTAGCTAATTTGATGTAACTCCACTGTGTGGAGCGACACGAGTATGTTTTCTTCTTCAATAAAATGCTTCTCTAATAAATCTTTTTTGTATTTCTCGTGTTTGATTTTATAAATTAATTCAGAGTCACACGTTGATATGAATCCACATTTTCATTTGGATACTAGAATACAATACATTAATTTATCCAAACGCAACTGCTGCGGATGTGGCAAAAAGAGACATACGTCTGTTTTTTATCTTAGGCTAAATATGTTATAAAAACGTACCGTTTACATTATATAACCATTAATATATCATTCCATAATCTCAAACACAGGATTAGATTTGAAGCATATTATATGACGGAAATATGCTGAATAAGTTATACACATTAAATAAAAATACTGAAAAACATTCAAATGTGCAATAGCGCACTAATATTATGCTATTTTTGTCTATTTATGTATATATTTAAAATAAGTAGCCTACATTGTATATATTTTTACAGCATATTAATTACAATAGTTAGGCCTATTTTAATAATTAATATTGTTCCTGCTGTTTCCTATACGTAATTTCCCTGCCGTTCTAGATGGAAGTATAGCTATCAAATACTGACATTACAATGATCACCTTCATTGCGAAACTAATCGTTCAACTAATCGAATATTTGATAATAGCACCAAATATATGACATGGAATACGAAAACATGCAATCGATTACTGTTAACTGACATGGTTCAGGACAGGCCGATTACTGGTAGGCCTATTCAGATTTATCTCGTGTGATATGTACCCATCGAGATTGATATTGACTGTAGATAACCAGTGACTATTTTTCTTTTGGCATTCTGTCGTTTATAAATGAGTATCCCATGCAATCCGTGGCTTCCTTACTTTACACGTATTTTTTCTGTTATGTATTTTCCTTTTTAGTTGAAAGTGTCGGTGGTTACATTAGTATTTTTTTCAATGATTAATTTCCAGTTAAAACTTACCAACAAGTCAGCTTATTTCATGGATGGATATTTATTAGTACAAATTACCGTAAACAAATATGTGAGTCACGCTATCATGGCGTATATCACGGACAATATGGAGGGGTCGTTAACTGTCGTGATTAAACTGTATGATTTAGAAAACTGCAAGCCAAGTACTTCGACAAAAATAGATTTTAAAATCTGCTTAGAAATAACTACGCTGTCTGTGTAAATATGTCTGGACGTTTGGGACGCCAAGGGCTTCTGGATATATCCCGCCTTCTAGCTGTTTCGAAAGGCCTAAACAGTAGAATATATTTGTTAAAAATATATTTGGCAACGCGCCGTTTTATACTGTAATGTGTTAAAACACATTCACATTGAACACTAACGACGAACTTTTCAGAATTTAAATAAAGAACAATGATCTGAAAATATATACTTACTTGGCAATGTACTCTATAGCAAAATGGGTTTTCTTTCGTCGCTTGAACAATACTTTGAAATATTACATAGCTTACAAAATCTTTTACATTTGGCCTAATAGCATCACGGATTATTGCTTGAATCAGCAACAAAATATTTGTTTTTCAGTTTAAAATTGTATTATAAAAATTAATGTTTCTTCATCTTAATTGAAAAATACAGGCAATGGGTCTTAATGAACAGTGGACAACATGGTACTACAGCCTGATCCGGGTGACCCGATTGTTTCATTTCACCTGGTAACCTGGTATTGAACACATTGGTACACGTGTGTGTGTGTGTGTATATGTATACACACACACATACATACATATATATGTACCGTCATATTAGGCCCATACATACATGATATCCCCGTTATTAAAAATGTTATTTCATAAATAACTTTTGATCTGCACGCAATAATTTCGTCCGGATAAACAAAATAAATTTGATAATTTTATTTACGATAATTTCCGCAACATCATTAAGAACTGAGAAAGTTATTTATAAGATTAGTATGCAGATTTATTTATTTAATTCGAATTTACTGTAGTAGGGCTACATTTTAGAAAACACGAGGCAGTTGAAAGTGACAAATTTCAAAACGTGACACCTCCAAAAAGAATTACGACTTGTTACTTTGACACCCACTTTGCTATTACTAAATTGCCTCGGAAGGACCAAAGTGTTGAGTGTTACGTCCTGAGTATGTTTTTCTCCCGCCATAATGAAACTAACTATTTTACCCACAATAGAGGTAATTTGTGTAAAAGGTCGGAGAAATCCTTGCTTGACTGGGTCTCGTATCTCTGTGGTGTGTCGGGAGACAGGAGAAGTGTTGAGGAGCACATATTTTCCCCACTGTTCCTTTTAGGATATGGAAGAGACAACCTTGAACATCTCCTTACATCTGGGCGTGAGGACCACTTTCGGGCCCGGTCTCAGCGAGCAGCCTCAAGTGGGGAACTTGCCCGAAGCGATCGCAAGCCTCACTTAACACAATATTGAATTCCCAGCAATGCAGGTGTGTGAAAGCAAAAAGCCAACCTACGGCTTCGATATCGCTGACATTCTCTCGACTAATTGACATGTATGAGCGGGAGACAAGAAAAGGAAAATGCTGTGTAGATGCAAGACGTTTAGCACCATGCCCGAAAATTGTGAATGATTTGGAGCATGAATTATACTACGAGATTTTCAGAACCTACCGCTACACTGATTTCTTGCAGGCTATATATATATATATATATATATATATATATATATATATATATATATATATATATACATATATATATATACATATATATATATATACACTTAGGCAATTAAACATTGACACAATTAATGCAATGGTGATTGTGCTGAAATTTAAATATTTTTAATTTTAAAACATGTATGTCCCTGTCCATAGCTGATCTTGTTGGAGTTGATCGTTCTGTAGACCCTTTAATGTAGGCCTAATAGGTCCTAAAACTCAGTTTTAGCTAGCTAAATATTTATTGGTGCTTTCGTACTTATGAATACAATTAACTACTTTGAATCAGTTTAGTTAGAACTTAGTTTTTGAGATAACGGATCAATAGATTTTTAAATGACAATTTATATTTTTATTCATTTACTTTAAATCAGTGTATTCTTGTTTTATTTATTTATTTTAATAAAAATGCTGAAGGGCTTTTAATTAGTTTTCCCGCATTAAATTAAGAGGTCAATATTCACTTAATATTGCGTTGCTATTGTTCTGAGCGAATACGCACCATGCCTAATATTGAATTGAAGATACGGACTACCTAATGATAATAATGATTGCCAGTTTTTAAACAATTGTTTATTGCACTCTTAATAAATATAATGCAGGTGCAGGTTCAATTATTGTTTTGCTGCTTGGGTTAATACTTAAGAAATGTATGAGCCTAGGAAGACATACACTGATCATAGGATGAAGCCGAAATGCAAATCTTCGTTAACAGATGGACACACGTTATCTCGCTGATAAGTCTCAGTTACAGCGACTCAATGGTTACGATAACCCTGTCTAATTATGTAGTGGCAGGTTCCACTAGAGGGCATTGTCGTATGAAAATATTCAGAATTTATTTGATTGTAGTGATAAGCTTAGTCCTTGATAAAAATAACTTTGAAGTTGACATTAATTTTCTTCTTACCTTGTACAAATATGCAGTTTCATCTTCATGCACCGCAGTGTGAATAAATAAATTCTCTTGTTCTATGTCACTTTGGAGTATTGTATAGCCACATCTTAATAGTTTTGCATTAATATATCATGGCTGTTTTTGACCTTGTCCATTTTCAAGCTTTCATGTAACTGCCCATAATGCAAAAAAAAAAGTGACCTACCTAATTTCACGTGTTCAGCAGCCATTTAACACACAAGATAAATGAGATCTTCATCATTATGACATAAATGCATGGTTTTATTGCGTGACCGGTTTTTGTGGAACGTTTAGCCAAAGACCATGGGTCACACATTATGCCTTTTTAAGGGGAAATCTCCTTTTGTGTGGACTATTCTACCAAAGTTCAATTTTGCTCATTTTGAGTGCTCTGGGTCTTTTCCGCGGCTTTGGGCATCGGGGAAAATTCAATAATGGTCCTGGTCTCTGTGGGACGTCCAGCTTTAAGTAGAGTTCTGCACTGCGCACATTTCCCGTGCCCTAATGTGTGTGAGAATGGATGACAACGCTTTGCTTCTAATCTCTTTGTCTATGCCTTTTTATGACCAGTAAAATAGCCAACACTAGTTGATTAAGCTTTTCCCTTTGTAAGAGGACTTAACATCAGTTAGCTGGTTCCAGGCAGGGGAACAATAATCACTTTTTAACTCGGCTTCACACCTCGAGTGCCTACAAAAACTCCAACTGATTAATTCCTCCTTTCAGCGCCACACAATCTATAATTAATTGCCAGAGGCAAAATTAATAGACGTTAATGGCCATTTGAATCAAAAGCAAAGGGGCAAAAAGCTGAAGTGAAAGCTATTAATTATGTGCTATGGGATTGGCCAGCAGGGACAAGAGGGGTGTGGCCTAGGCCACTATGGGACCCTAAAGGATCTCTGGCCGATGTCGTTCACATGGGCTTCTGCAGAGTGGGTCCTGAATGGACTATGGGCAAAGGGGGGCTTTTCTGGTAGCCCAGAGCCACGATTAATTCATGTGAAAGGAGTGTCTGTCCTGGGGTGTCTGAGACTCTGATCTGCTCAAACCCAACCCCCCCCCCCTTCCCCCACAACCCCCTTCCATCCCAGTTTCAAAATCTGAGATTGTAACTGACAAAGGAGGGAGTCGATGGAAGCAGGAACTCATGGGCACGGTGTTTCTCTTTGATCTCAAACAAATCAGCATGCATCTACCCCCCCCCCCCCCCCAGTACACACCTCCAGCTTCACGGTAGCACTGAAGAATGGTTGTTTGTTTAAAGAGAACAGTTTTGTGTTTTTACTCCATGTAGACAGTGAGTCGAGGTTATCTGCCTCTCCAGCAGACGGCAAACAAAAAGAGGCCGACTTGAGGATGCTACTGTAGAGTTTTTTTTATTGTCTGCAAAAAAAATCAGATTTGTAAAACACACACTTCACTTTTTGAAGAAAGGGTTTCTGTGCCCAGCTGTCACTGAAGGTCGTATCTGTCTCAGGTTCCCGCACACAGTTCCACAAGAGCAGCAGAAATCTCAGGTAACAGCCCATCTGTGGACGAGGCCTTGGTGCTTCTCCATTGGACCTCTGTGCAGCCACAGACTTGATCTCAGGTACAAGCCACATTAGACCTAGAGTTTCGACAGCCTGACTGATCTCCTCTTTGTCACCATAGATTTTCAGTTATTAGGTTTTTTTTGTATCAAGATTGCTGGAATTGGCCACAGGGGGCGCTGTGAATCTGCGATTCTGTATTATTTTGACTGTTTGGGGAAGTAAATATGCTATTTAGCTACGTATGTAGAAATTTAATCTGGCACGCCTTTGAAGATGAGTACTGTTTTACCTTTATACTGTACACATAACTTTAGTGTTAGTAATATATACAAATGCAATTTAAATTGATTTATAATGGTGCAGAAACATAACACAATGCTTGGTCTTATTTGTGCCTTATCCTAATGGAATTTATAATTAAATACAAAAATAAATTAGTTCTATGCCAGTTGCCATTTTATCAATTCCTCCGAAAACGACCCTTATTCATTATTACTATTATATAAAAAACAGTACATTTTATATCACATAATATTGCATAATTATATTTGTAATGTTGCGTGTTATCATTGCATGGCATTAAATGTATTAATATTTAACATTTGCAAAATGCATAATCTATTTCACGTTTTGTTTTTTGCATGTACGTATGAGTCCTAATTGACGTAATTACCACGGAGTACAATACATCCCTACCGTATAATATTGAGGCAAGGTGCTCGTAGTTCGCACGGTATAAATGAATTTGCGCATGCTCACCACACCTCTGTCAACAGAGAGCCGAAAGCAGGTACCGAGCTTAGTGAGTGACAGGTCTTTTATCAAAAGCTCGCAGATCCTCGGTCTTATTGGCGTCCAAAAATGTTACTCGCAAGATGTGAAGCCAAGCCAGCGTCCTCCTAGCATAATACAAAACTACGAATCTACCAATCACGGCCGGGTGTCGTTGAAGGTTTACTTGTTTTCAGTTTCTTACAAATAGCAGCAACTTGTGTCTATTTTAAACGCGTTTTTGTTTTGTTTTAGGTTTTTGGCCCGTTGTTTGTGCGATTTAACTAAATTCTGATAGATTGTGGTACAGTAGTAGGCTGCAGAAAAAGTCTAATCGATGTTTTGCATTAGCTAGTTTTTCTTCCACCAATATCCAGACCTAAGGAGCCGCAGTAAGTTATGGATCGCTTGGGGACTAATGCTAGACTACCCCACTGTGGATTTTAACAGCCCAGCTCGCTGAAACACCGGACTAACACCAATATCGTCCAGGCTTTACCTGAACTAACTTTGTCATTATTTTTGTTGTTAACGCGGCTTATATCAAGACGTATTTCATCAAAGGACTTTGAATATCATGTATCAGCACAGTAAGAAATGCTTCACCATCGAATCCCTCGTTGGCAAAGAGGCGAATTCCTCGGCTTCTGTGGACGAACCTGTTAGACCCACGGCGTTGAGATTTACGGAGTCCATACATCCTCCTCCCTTTGGGAGTTGCTTCCAGAACTCCGGCAGGAGCTTGTACAGCAGTCCAGATATGATGTTTCCAGACCCGGGCACGCACTCCAGCAACTCGGCTCTGTCTCTGCACCCTCTACAATTGCCTTCTCAGCCGTTCTTCAACCCGCACCAGAGAGAAAGTCTGAACTTCTACCCCTGGGTTCTCCGAAACCGATATCTTGGACATAGGTTCCAGGGTAAGTATACCACACCTGAACTGTTTCAGTCATGTGTTACTCATTCCGGAGTATTATCGGATGAAAACCCGAAATGGGTATTATCGCAAATTACAATGTGGCAGAATCAGTCATCTAAGCAGGTCCGGCGATCTGTTTTTGCAGATATGGTTCTGCGGATAAACTTGATGTTATGTGTATGGGTGGGTGTTTGTGGTTGTGTGTCTTTGCTGCATTGACACTGAGCGCATATAATATCTCCTCTTATTTCTAAAATGGACACGAATTAACAAGTTTAATCTACTTAACACGAAATTCATGAGAAAGAACGAATAAGCAGCAGTTAGAAATCGCTGAACTGGGCCCTGTTGTCGTTTTCACGCTGCGTAATTTCACTTGCAGGAGAGTATCGAAGATACTATAATAATATAAAGGAATTACAAATTACACACATGTATTATTATCTTCTGCATGGCTGCTATAAGCTGACGAAAATTGACTTTGCAATTCACTATGCAGTTTGAATTGTAACATTTTAAATTTATGTTGTATTTTTTACATGCGTATGGGAGTAATTCACTTTTAAATATGATGAAAACAGCCAATAAACGGGAAAAATGAAATAATAGCTTTGAAATATTTTTCTAAATTTATATTTGTATGCATCCTATTCTTGTTTTATCTATGCTGTTTATAGTGTTGTAAAGGCGATTTGATATTTCACATCAGTTATTACGATTGGAGATTGTGTTAAATTCTTCGTGGGTCCAAATTTCACACTAACTTTGTTTAGTGTGAAATATGATAATGTTTTACTCGCATGTAGATAAAGTAGAGGACCATTTCAAAATGAAGATATTTCTGGTTAAATAGGAAACCACAGTGATTACTCATTAAACATCCATGAATGTTGAGTGATCTTTACTTAAACAATAAAAAAAGCGTTGTCAAAACGCTTACTACGGCCCAGCACTCTGTTAATCATATCTAATTTCACCGCCGTGTCAATTTCTTTAAAGTTTGTGTGCTTACTCTCATATTTATGTCGTTGTCTTTCAGCTCTGGCCTTTCGTGTTTAGGCAAGGAATTACCGTGGGGACGGTTTCGCTAACAGCATACGACTTACCAACACTATAAGGTGCTTAAAGTAGTGTAAAATAGTGTTATTTACTTAATAATTGTATAATTGCAGTTTATTTAAGATTAACATTATATAAACAAAAATAAAACGCATTGCTATGTATATAGCAATGTATAAGAAAACATTTTTATTGCTGATGCTTTCATTATTGTCAGTATTATTATTGGTAGTAGTTTCGTATTTGGAATATTAATCAACACCTATATCAATTACCGTCACCCATTCTGTCATATAATAATTCGTACTTTTTGCTGTTTGAATTCCATACTTTCAGTAATCTTTTCACCTTCTAACGACGTCATTTCCCTAAATCCGGTTTGTCTACAGTCACTGCATAAAACGACTTAACGTGTTATTATTCTAAATAATCTTTCGTTAAATTTTCATATATTTTCAGGTTACTGTTTTGGGTAAATATTAATACAGATTTTTTCTACGTTATTTCAGTGCGAATTTCTAGCTATATTTGAATTAAATGTGATTTTTTTCTCCTGGCGAATAAGATCTAATTTTCACACGAATGCATTGATGTTTAAAGGAAATATGAAATATGTAAAGTAAAGGTCAATCTGGAATAAAGAGAAAGGCAAAAACATAATTGTTATCAAGGCAAGAAAAAAAGAAACTGCGGATTCGTGGCTTTTATATTAGCCATTGTAATGGCAAAGGAACTGCGAGTGTACTGTAAAATAAACACAACGTGGCCCTTTACAGTAACTATAATAATTATAGCATCGTAAACGTCAATCCGGCCATTCTAATGGCGCTCCAGTCTAATTCCAATAAAAGGAAAATACCGGACAGGTTACTATTATTGCTAAAAGTAATTTCCGAACAGATTTCTAAATATAACATAAAACAAGGATTCAACATTTGCTCTATATTATAATACTAAAATCAAATAAAATACAAAACAAATGCAACAACAGCAACAATAGTAGTAGTAGTAGTAGTTGTAGTAGTAATTAAAAAATCCCTTGTAATATCAAGTATATCATCCTCCTTGGCACTGCTCATATACTGAGGAGGGTTTTATCCATCAGGTGAACCATCACACCCTCTTGGTGGATCTAATTCAAGGGATGGTCTTGGCTTCACGAGTGAATGGAGCAGGACTTTAAGGATAATAATAATAATAATAATAATTATTATTATAGCAGCTAGATTAGTTGTCCCCTGAAAATTATTGTTTAATTGCTGCAGGTGGAACAAACCCATTAGCCTGTGCTCAGATTTTCCCTCTTACTCATGGCTTCCGTGTCTTACCAGCACACACACAAACCCTGAACTTTACATCGCTTTAAGAACTCAGCAAGTCATACTTTCAGAACAAGTGAACCCTTTGTATCTTAAAATATAACTACATGAAATTTAAATATCATCACGTAAGTGTATATTTTTTAAGTTGTATTTGTTCCTGACCAGGACAGAAGGTCGGAAGATGGATGGATAGAGTATTATTTTCATGTTATATTAGCTTAATGGACCATCATGTTTTTTTTATTTTTTATTAGTCCTTTATAACTTCGACACAGTTCTTAATATAATTTTAATAATGTCCTTTGCTGTGTATAATGTTTGCATACTAGGGTTAATCAATGATGTTTTCATTCAAATGTCCTATTAGAATAATTATGTAGGCAAACATTTCTGTTGTAGGAGATGCTGCAGTTTATTCTGGCTGTATAGTACTTAGTAGGGGTGTCTGGGAGACTCCTGCATATTTTATTATCTAAATTAGAGGGAATATTTGGGTCTGGAAGGAATTTTAATCAGCAGGCCTGTGCAGTGGATGAACCCCTATAGGAGAATGTTCTGAATCACACCAAAATATCAGTCTGACAACACGCGCCCCGTTGAATTCAGTAGGAGGTGTTAGGAAGCGACGTCTCTCTGCTTCTGCTCGCGCTGCTGCAAATGTTAATCGCTGTCGATACAGGCCCGCCGTGTTTCCGCCAGAGCTGCTCGTCCAAAACGAATATCGCCGAGTCGATGGTACGTCGCCGTCAAAAGTGAATTCTAATGACACATCTTCCCTCTGTAGGAACACAGACAGTTTTTTTTTTTTTTAGCCCAGAAACATAAATGTGTATTTCACAGTCTTGGGGAAACGGCATGACAGAATCTGGGGAGATTAAGAAACACAAAGCCTTATACCTTGAGGGTACTTTACTCTCTCGTCCATGTTATGTGTTTTTGTTTATTCTCCCAAGATGCGTGCACTAATGTTCTACAGCCCAGTCCCCGGTGGTCTCCATAACAAAGCAATTTGTTAAACGAAAGGGATCAATGACTTTTCCCCTCGCCTATCTTGTTGACTCCTAGTCCGCGGCTGTGACTCCAAGCCCAGCCGAGTCAGGTGTGCAATCCTCCCGGGCATATCTCAGGTAATTGCTGAAAGCCAGAGGCTGTTGTAACTGTTCTGTAGATCCGTGGCTCAGATTAAAAAAAAAAAAAAGCCCTTTGTTTACTGACAGAACAGATCCACTCACTAATGGTATCCAATAACCTTGAAAACCACTGTTTAGACAAGCCTAAATACAGCCAAGGGGATTGAGTGGTTGAGGATTACCCATGGTGAGTATTCGGTTATTGTTGGGAGGAACGCGCGTTAAGTTGTGAGCCTGACCACTTCCTGAACGCCCGGGGAAGACCCGCGTGTCTCTGAAGCTATCATGCAGCACAAAGTAAACAGGATCCTGGGCCCTTCTCTCTTCACATGGAGCGGCCACCTTTAACGGATGCCTCCGTAGGTATCAGAGAAGGTGGGGGGGGGGGGGGCAGGTCACTCAGTCCCGTCACTCACGTACCCAGCAGCCTGGAAACCTCCTTTGTGAAGCCCCATCCAAATGTGTCGAGGCACATCCAATAGGGCTCAGGAGGGGACACCTTTTCCGAAATGGCCCCGATGTGGCCCGTGGGAGAGCGGTGCGCGGTTACAGGTGCGTGCTACTAATTTGTCCGTTTTCATGGAGCACTCCCCTGCAGTTAAACATTATATCCACCCCATCCACCGGGAATTTGAGGGCTTGTGAGAATACCTACGGAAAAGAAAGTGGCTCCCTCAGGGGGTGCTGAGAGGGGGGTCTGGACAGGCAACGCTGGGGTGTAACTAAAAACAAACCGTCATGTTCAGGGCTGGCTAACACATGGCTGCTACACCCCTCCATCAGTCGTGGCCCACTCCTCATCCACGGTTTGGAATAGAGAATGGGCTCCCCGCTTGCTGTGACAAGACCGGGCCTGTTTGTGCCAGGGGAATTGTGGCATCGTCGCCCCAGGTGCCATCTGGTCCATTCCCAGACACGTCTGGGGAGGGCCGCACTCGCCGAGGATTGGCCGGGGTCCGCTCCAGTCCACGCCCTCCGAGCCCTCCCACTGCGCCTCCACGGGGCCGGGGTGCTGCCAGATTGGAGGCTCGGGGAGTGCCCCTCCACTCCCATCCTTTCCCGGGGGAGGTTTGCTGGTGACGCAAGGCGGCACATGATGCCAGGCAGGAAAGCACACCCGCCTTGCCGGCGTAGCCAAGGGAAACAAGCGTGACTTTCAGGCCGCTGGAGACGACGGGACACAACAGACACAGAAACTGAAACTGCACAATGCGACAGCGTATGGACTTCTGGTGACAGTGAGACACGAGGAAGAGACGGCAGAGGACATTTCCCAAGATGCAACTGGAATTTTGAGTTAGATATTTGAGTGGCAAAATCCAAAAATGAGGGTATTTCTTCCCCGTGATGTATTTT